AGCAGGAGAGGACTCTTTAAAGTAGAGAAACGACTACTTGACGTGGATCATAAATATATCAGCAATTAAACAACATCTTACATTTCTCTTCACACAATACGTCTCCTTGAAGTATCAACACTAATTCGGCTGACTTTTACATTTGATCCAATTGGTAGATAGGTTATATTTACACCATAACGGTGCACAGCTGATAGAAAAGGACTTGTAGATATTACTGATTTTCTTTGAATATAAGAATGTAAATACTGAGTTGAAAGAATAGTCAGGGTGATGGGAGACACATCTATTGATTCAAAACTGAAGTTATTGTACTTGGCCCGAAGAATCTACGAAACAAATTATCTAAGGATATACTAACTATGGATGGCATTAATTTGGCCTCCAGTGAGACTGTAAGGAATCTTGGTGTTATATTTGATCAGGATTTATCCTTTAACGCCCACATAAAATCAATTTCAAGGACCGCCTACTTCCATCTACGTAACATTGCAAAAATCAGGCATATCTTGCCTCAAAACGATGCAGAGAAACTAGTCCATGCATTTGTTACTTCAAGGCTGGATTATTGTAACTCTTTATTATCAGGGTGTACCAAGAAGTCAGTCAAGTCGCTTCAGCTGATTCAAAATGCTGCGGCTCGTGTACTAACCAGAGTTAGGAAAAGGGACCACATTACTCCTGTTCTGGCTGCCTTACACTGGCTCCCTATAGAACACAGGATAGAATTTAAAATTCTTCTTCTCGCCTACAAAGCCCTTAATGGGCAGGCGCCATCTTACCTTAAAGAACTCATTATACCCTACTGTCCTACTAGGGCATTGCGTTCCAAGAATGCAGGGTTGTTGGTTGTTCCTAGAGTCTCTAAAAGTACAATGGGAGCCAGAGCCTTTTCTTATCAAGCTCCACATTTGTGGAATCAGCTTCCAGTTTGTGTTCGGGCGGCAGACACCCTATCCGTTTTTAAGAGTGCGCTTAAGACCTTCCTTTTTGATAAAGCTTATAGTTAGGGCTGATTAGATCCAGCCCCTAGTTTTGCTGATATAGGCTTAGTTTGTCGGGGGACATCTTACTTCTTCCTTCTCTCTGTCTATACCTGTGTACTCTCATGTTCCGATTAACCCAGCTTCCCCAAATGTCTTTCTTTTGGTGTCTATATACGCCGGGATCCGGAGTCATGGATGATCCTGCGCTCCTCTGTCCTGGATCGCGAGCCCTGGATCTTGAGTCGTGGCTGTGGTCCTGGATCATAGGTCCTGGATGGATATCCTCGTGGATTCATCTTCCTATTATACACACATGCATTTCCAAACATTTGGACTACCTATGTTGCAAATGTATTATCTTTTCAATTTACACACGGCATCTATTGCACGTCTGTCCGTCCTGGGAGAGGGATCCCTCCTCTGTTGCTCTCCCTGAGGTTTCTCCCATTTTTCCCTTTAAACTGTGGGTTTTCTCCGGAAGTTTTTCCTTGTACGATGTGAGGGTCTAAGGACAGAGGGTGTCGTATTGTCATACTGATATTTTGTACAAACTGTAAAGTCCACTGAGACAAATGTAACATTTGTGATATTGGGCTATATAAATAAACATTGATTGATTGATTGATTCAGAATTTCAATAGCTTACCATTAAATGACGGATATACCTTTCTGTCTGTGATTTTTTACAAATCAGATATTAGAAGTAAAACATGTGAAATAATATAGCAATATCCTGTAAAATGATGTGAAAAGATGAATAAAACTACACATATTCAGATGTTATACATACACAAGTGTCCTACACTAATAATACAAAGTTATTATGGCTGTGTGTACCTTGTGTGCACCGCCTAGTGGTTAAAGCACGTTATTGAATTATTTGTGTAAATGACATGTCAATAAACCTTAGAAAATCTTGAAATCTTGAAATGGATGTGCAAAATAACCATTATATACAGTCTTTAATTAACTATTAGTAGAGAATAACGAGTAATGAATATACTTTATAGAGATCTGCAGATAAATGTTTAGTCTTCTCAAGCACCAACTATCAAATATCTCTCCTGATTGTTGGCACTTGACAATCACCTTTCCCTGAATTCTACTCAGGTGTAACTAAAGTCTGATTTAAGGGTTGTTTATATTTCACATCATTAATCAGAATCTGCAAAGTAAGTTAAATAAATGTAGTGGAGTAAAAATACCAGGTTAACCTCTGAATTGTAGTGGAGTAGAATTACAAAGTAACAATGAGCTGTCATGTGGGTATTAATGCTGCGCATTATGTACACAAGCGATGTTCACCCATTTATTAATTATATGCTTTACATTTGTACACACCAATGTGTTTCCTGTCGCCTAAACCTCTAGGGGTGTAAACAGGGCCGCCCCTGGCCAACTTGGGGCCCCAAGCGACATTGTGAGATGAGGCCCCCCTCCCAACCGACAGGAGTGAACATTTTGTTGGAAACAAAGTAGGCTACTTTGCAAATATAATTCCTGTTTATTATTATTATCAACGGTTACTTTTTTATACAGTGAGGTAAATGGTAAATGTGCATGTATGTCGCTCAGTATGGGTTTACAGGTGAATTTTGCATTTCCTGCCAAATACTAGCCTCAAAAAGATAAAAATATAATTAATGCAAATAAACTAGTTCTACTAATAATAATAATAATCATAATCAATTCAATAATAAAAATACTATATTGTTTTATTATAATATAGTTGTAATATAGTCAAGACAAAACATGCTTATGACATGCTCAAAAACTGATATTTCTTAAATCTGTATTCTAGTTCCCTCTGTCAGCAATGTGTCAACAACTACACACACATTTCTATCAGTATTTCTCTGTGTTGTGGTTGACATGATGATGACTGTTAGGAGTTAAGGGGAGAGGCTGAGCGTCACCATGAAATGTGCAAATTGACATAAAAATGAATAAAAGGGGAACAAATGCTCCATGTTTTTTAGGCTGTAAACTTGAACTGTTATGTAAGCCAACTAGACAGACAGTGTATCACTCTTCCTCCTGTATATTAGCAGATAAAAGGCATAACATACTTGAATGAATGGTAAATAAAGAATACTGGAAATAACTGCATCTCCATTAGCCTATATGCTCTGCAGAGACTGCCTTCTTCATGTCGTGAATTGCAGCTGATGTTTTAATATGGCAATTGGCAATTTGACTTATACAACATTCGTAAGTTGTACATTTGACTCATACAATAACCCACCTTCGAGTGATGCGCTAGTTTCTTTATGTTTTGTTTTTTGCGCCGGACTGAAACTGTCTTTTCACCGACATCTCTTCACCTGCACTAGTGGCCGTATCAAAGCCGTGATTTGTCAGATGTCGATTCATTGCAACGGTGTCGGGTTACAGACATGCTCCTCTTGTCACCTCTCACTCTCACTCTCGTGGGGGGTGCGCGGAGAACTGAGCGGAGAACTGAGCGGAGAACTGCGCACAGCAGCTGAGGCCCTCTGGGCGGGGCCCCCTGCGCAAGGCGGGGCCCCATGCAGCCTGTGTGATTGGCCTGTAGGGAGGGGCGGCCCTGGGTGTACACAGTTTAATACTGTCAACTTCTAATTTTGGGGGAAACTAAAACGTCTTTTAAAACTACAATTCCCAGTAGAGACGTGCCATAGAACATGTACAAACAAACTGCACGTTGATACGACCTTCCTAGCCGGAGATATGGCCACATTTTACAATAAACTTCAGTTGGGTCGCTTTAAAAACAATTATAATGGCAATCGCAATATCTGTCAGAAAAATCGCAATTAGATTAGATCTGTGTTTAACTCATGCCTTAACCCTGCACCTTGTATGTTTATACATGTACATCTAAATCTGCACCCAATTATCCAAAGTTACTTAATTGTATTTAAACATTTATGTCCATTACTTCAACACTGTTTGTTAGTTGCATTTACTGTAACTTCATTCACTCTATGCAAACTACATTTTGTTGTACTCGTGTGACAATAACGTTGAATATAATCTAATTATCTGTAAGTGGACGGCATCTTCACATTCAGTGAGGCACCAGGAGTTCGTTATTTGCCAATCATTAAAATACAGGATTACTCTCACATCTGGACATTTCCATCACAGAACATTACAAAGGTTTGACTGTAGAGGGCAGGGGTACATCTTTACAGAACACAAGCTGACTAACGTTTCTCATGTGCTCTGTGTTTGTGAAAAAGGACCCAAAGTGATCAATTAGTGTTCTGGATTACTGTTATTCTTTCAATCAGGAGAGACCTATTGTTGGCCCTAAAGAACATATATTGACCCATGCACGATACGATAGAAATGTTAAAAGTCTTTGGTGATAAGACCCCAATCCTGATATTGTATATCTTGAGGGCGTAGTGCAGCCGTGATAATAGGAGTAGGCATTGGTGGTGATGTTGAAGATCTGAATTTAACGAGGATGTGGATGAAGAGGATGCTAAATATCTGGATTGATGAGGTGTGGTTTTTTGGATTGGCTCAACCTGGGCACTGGATATGATGACTTGATGTTTGAAACACCTGAAATCACACCTGACTGCAGGAGAGGGGAGAGCAGATGTACAGTTTGACTGCAGCACAATGATTGGCTGCTGGAAATTGTGGTAAAATGTAATTAAAAGTGGACGCCCATAATTAGCTGATTATATGCAGTGGGATGAATACGGATGAAGAAGAAATTCTTACATTAATGATGATTTTTCACGATAAACCAACCATTCAGCGTGTTCGTCCATGTTTTTACACACATTGTGGCTTTAAGGATGGCAATGTTGAGCTGTCAGTCACCCATTTTCATACTGTAGATGTTTACAAGTTAATGCATTGTTTGCAAAACCACAGAGTTCTTCATTTTAACTATGTTTACCGTCTCCTGTATCTTGTAACTGTTAAGAGGAAGGAAACAAGGGCAGTTCTTAACACATTGATATATTGTTAACACAGCTGCACGAGTGACAGAGAAAACACCCTACTCGATGTACAAACGTTTTTGGTGACTCACTGACAAACAGTATTTCTCCTGTATGTGATCTACCTGATGGTTTATCAGAGACGTGAGGAGCAGCTATGAGTCTACCAGCAGCAGCGAGAGGATTTGTCGTCTTCCTTCTCGTCGTACAAGGTACTGTACATCTACATTTATATTGTAAGATAGTTGATGCAGCTCAGAAATACAGAGTGTTTGCACCATTTGGCATGGTACAACTATGTCTGTGTTGATGGAAATAATGACTGTAAATATTACAAAACAAGACTTTTTTTGTATTTAAATAATTGTTAATTAAAATGTATCGCTCAGTTGAACTTCCTCTTTCATCCTGCCGTCCTCACCACTTAACTTTAGCAAGTGTTTCTCAGCATTAGACATTCAGCTGTATTTGATAATGTAATGAATATAAGAAAGTTATAAGGAATAATCATCACACTTCAATCATCTCATCTTTTAGCGTATTGTTTTTCTTTTATTGCCAACAACTTTACTGTTTTCAGCTGCGCCCATTAACTGATCGCTCTTTCTCTCTTCATGACGGCCACAGTTTTGACCCTGAAGGTCAAGTGTGTGTGAAGGTGTGTGTCCGTGAATGCATGAACGTCTGTTTGCATGCACGTACATGATCGTAGCTTTTGCATTTTATTCATTTTTGCCTCCATTGGACGGTGAAAAGTGTAAAGACTTACTGGAAACAGGAAGAGAGATCTGGGTATGACATGCTAAAAAGGAACCGGGGCGATCACAGTAACAAGTTAGCTCTGTAACTCCCTGTCAGCGCAAGGTGCTATATGCAGCTTTTTTCAATTAATAGCCTCTTAAAACTCTACACTTCAGACATCACCGAAATAAGGATAGACAAAGTTACTGCAGCGTAAAGACGGGTACACAGTAGTATTTATCTGACAAAACAAGACTGAACATTGGATTTATGTTAAGAGTCATTTAGAAACATGACTTTAAATAAATGCTCATGTGGTTTAGTGGATATTGTTGCTTTGATAAATATCTAATTTCTGCAGAGAAGCCAGATGCTTTCTTGTACCTGACAATGAGACCTAGGTGCATCATGCAACGTTTGTGTCGACTTTTGCAAGAAATTAGCAGTTAATTACTTAGAAATAAACTTTCTGTCAGTTATTTGTTATCTTAATATCAGACGCCTCAATGTTCTGCTTTTCTTTGAAGTTTCCATTCACGCCCTGCAGCAGCCGGATCACTGAGAGAAAAGCAAGCCAGGAAAGAAGACTCATTGTTCTGATTCACACCCCCTAATATCTTATTCTCATCTTTTTCTAAGGTTCGAAATCTAAGTATTTATCTTAGTATTTATCAGGTAAATACTGCATTAAAGGTTAAATACACTGCTGCATGATGTCCTACGTCAACATTATATATGTTTTCGTGCCTCTGTTCACTGGAAACAACATTAAAACATTTAAAAGTATAAACCCAGTTAGAAACAAACATCAGAACATTCCTCTGTATGTAAATCAATATAATATAAAATAGTAAAAAGACGTGTTTGATAATGATAAGAAAGTCTGTCTACTGATGAGTCTGATGAATGTTTCTGATGTGCTCTGTGTTTCAGTGGTTCAGGGTCAGGATGTCTGGGGAGTGACTTACTCTTCTACTGAGATCTGTGCAGTGAAAGGATCAACAGTGGAGATAAGATGCAGCTACACATACCCATCTACATGGAAAGGTGGTGTTAACAGAGTTAAGAAAACATTCTGGTTTACTAAATGGAAAGGTGATGAACCTGTAGATCTGACCACAGACTCAGCGTATGCAGGTCGTTTAGAGGATCGCTGTGAAAACAACATCTGCACTCTGAGAATCAGAAACCTGAGAGAGAGCGACTCAGCTGTGTACAGGTTCAGGTTCACAACAAACCAAGACGTTTATGCTAGTGATCCAGTCACTCTGTCTGTCACAGGTAACACTTTGTTTGTAACTATGTAAGTCAGCTCAACATTTGGTCAACACTGCAGTGAATGTCAGTAAATCTACTACACGTACAATGACAGTTCAGTTTAACTCGTTTGTTCCCTCACAGGTCTCCAGGTGAAGGTGACCAAAGGCAGAAACTGCCATACAGGAAACTGTATATATGCTACCCTGAAGTGTCTCAGCAGTTGTCCTCCCACTTCTCGTCCTTCCTACATCTGGTACAAGAATGGACTGAAATCACCAAAACAAGGAGATTCTTTCTATGACTATTTCTATCCTAAAGAAAGCTATGCCTGTGCTGTTAAAGGATATGAGAATTCCCCCTCTCCTTCAGTGTGTGAGTTCACTTACAGTCTTCCACCAACATGATGCTATACCTTATTACATAAAAGGGAGACACTGTCCCCAGCAATACATTCAGCCTTGAGTTAAGGCAATTACATTTTCATAATAATTAACCAAAGATATTTCATTTTTCAGGTGTTAATGGTCAAGCCTGCAATACAGTGGCTTACAGTGAAAGAAGCATCTGTGCCTTCAAAGGATCCTCAGTGGACATTTCCTGCACGTACAGCAGTAATGCATATGTTCAATCTAAATTCTGGTTCAGTCCTGAGCGTAGAGATCAGGACCTTAGTACAGACTCCCAGTATGCAGGTCGTGTTCAGATCCTTGAAACAGAGAGAGGACGCTCCACTCTGAGGATTTCTGACCTGAGAGACTCAGATTCAGCTCAGTATCGCTTCAAATTCAAAACACCAAGCTTTGAATGGAGGAGTGATTTACCTGGTACCACTCTGACTGTCACAGGTACTGACCAACACACTGAGGAAAATACACCTACACTTTATACCTTCAAATACAGTCCTAAGCTCCTCGTCATCAGCCTCGCAGCTATTCAACAATGATTATGTTTACGATAACAAAGTTAACATTGCTGAATATCAAATTATTCCTAAACCACCAGCGTTAGAGATGTTTTGACCACACATTTGTTTACATTAAAAGTTTTAAGAGATGCATTTGACTTCAGAATGCAACATTTTGGTGGAAGATTTCTGTAATTCTTAATTATTGCAACAAAAAGTGAAATTGCAATTTCAGTTTTTTCTAATAAGGTGCATCCCTAGTTAGTAGGTTAGCACGATTGCGGCTAACATTGGAAGTCAGAGCAGTGCGCCGTTTCTTAATGTTTGTCACAAAAATTACGATATATATTTATGATTATCACTTTGCCCATGAGCCTGCATGATAAGGTGTAAATAGTAGTTTTGATATAGGAAAAGGTGTGTATATTGCAATATTTAAGATGTAAATGAATAACAGTTTAATGGGACTATTAAAAAAGACGGTGCTCTTCATCTATCAGCCCCCCACCCCTTACATAACAAATCCCAAATTAAACCGCTGGACCAAGTGATATAATATTGTGTCATTTCAAATGTTTATTTGACTCATATCCAGCTCTGCAGGTGCAGGTGATCACAGCAACAGTCCAGCAGTCTGATACCTTAGCAGAGCTGAAGTGTCACAGCAGCTGCAGTCCAGCTGGTGGTGTTTCTTACGTCTGGTTCAAGAACGGAGAGAAAATCCACACAACATCGATATCTTCTTATAAAGGCTTGCTTCACCACGCAGACAGGATCTCATGTGCTTTTGAAGGACATGAAGACTTCCCCTCTCCTGCAGTGTGTGAGTTTACTCATTACAATGACAATTTCAGAGGATTATTCTGAATCTGAATGCAGATGCCGCAGTTATATATAGAAAAAGAAAGCTTAACTACAGCCAGTAAAAAAGCCATCTTGGGTAAAGAGACACACAGATGACATAGATTTAGGTGGAGACCTCATTTTGAATAAAGAAGAGTTACAAACAAAACTAAATATCAACAATAACAGAAAATCATTTAGGCACCAAGAGACCCCACAAAGAAAGATATCATAAATTAGGTCATTCAAGGTTGCAGGTGCAAGATGAGACATTTTTGATTTTGCAAGCGCCTGCAACGTAATTTAATCTTGATGAGAGCCCACAAGATAATTGAAGGAGGTGAAAAAACAAAAGCAGCAGCTATGAGTTTAACTGCAGTGGATTTGTTGTCTTCCTCCTCTCTGTGAGACGTACTGTACGATCTGCATTTATATTGTAAGATAGTTCAAACCCTTTAGAAATACAGCACCATTTAGCATGGTAATACTATGTCTGTATGGATGGAAATAATGACTATACATACAGTACCTACATTAACAAACAACACATGCTTTAGATAATTGCCAATTCATCGCTGTGTTGAACTTCCTCTATCGTCCTGCAGTCCTCAACATAACTTTAAATGAATGTTGTTTAGTGGATATTGTAGCTTTGATAAATATCTAGATAGTTCTGCAGAGATGCCAGATGCTTTCCTTCGGTCAATGAGATATAGCAGGTGCAACATACAGGAAGTAATCAATGTTTTTGTTGACTTGAAAGCAATTAGCAGTCGAATACTTAAAAATAAACTCTCTCAGTAATTTGTTATCTTAGTTGTACACGTGTCAATGTTCTGCTTTTCTTTAAAGTTTCCATTCACACCCTGCAGCCTTTCCACAGAGAAACACCCAACATAGCAAAGAAGACTCTTTTTATGTACCACACCCTCTAATATGTATTCATTTATTTTGTCTAAGAAATACTGTGTTAAGGTTTTGTCCTGCCTCAGTGCACTAACATCACTAGTACCTCATTCACACCAATGGCGTTTCGGGGCCGGTTCGGAGCTGGAGCTTGAAAAGCACCGTGTTTTCCTGTTCGCACCGCAGCGGAGCAGCCTCTTAGCTCCAGAATCCGGTTCGTTTCAAGCACCAAAAAATGGTCCGATCAGAGCAAAAGCACCGCATACGTCACGCTTACGTCGAGGCGGGGGCAGAGACAGATCAACTCCTGAAGAACAACAAAAAGCCCGCGTTTTATCCAGTTTGTACACAACGATGGAGAAACTTAACAAGAGTTTCAGAGTTTCAGTGTTTCTGCCATAGACTGTATAAAGGTTTCTGCTCATGGTGAAGCAACGTGTCTGCGTGTTAAGGTGGAACCTGAGCATTCACGTTGATCACCTCTCATTATAACTCATTATAAATCTATAAAACTATAAATATCAAACTTTAGTTCACGTGTTCATTTGAGAACAGCTGTTACATACCTGGGTGAAGGTTACAGTTCATTTAAATGAAAGATACAACGTTACTCCACACTCATGGTTCAGTCCACCTTAAGAAATAAGACCGACCTCGGAAGCAGTTGTGTTTTAAAAAAACCTTTATTGACACGAGTACACTTTTTTATAAGAATATAGTCTAACTCTAAACCACAGAAATGACTCCGGAAAAGCTGCAGATAGAGCCATAAGAAATGAATGTAACTGATTTCATCCGCGCGGTTTGGCTTTATGAAGCAGGCACGCAAACGGTTACGTCATGACGCAAACGATAACGCAACGACGCATTACCAGTCGGACTCTGGGCGGTGTGAAAAGAGCCAGAGCTAAACCGAAGAACCGGTTCTGAACCTGAAAAGCTCTAGCACGGAGCTTGAACCGGAGTTGCGTTGGTGTGAATGAGGTAGTATGCGGCTTTCACACCAGCGCTTTTCCCTTTCTAGCTCCGAGCGGGAGCTTTTCTGGTTCAGCTCCGGTTTCCCTTTTCTGCTCCCGCTCTGTTCACACCGCCCAGAGCTGCCGCTGCTGCGTCATGACGTCACCGTTTACGTGCCTGCTTCATAAAATCCAAACCGCGGAAATCCCTCACATCGACAACAACAACAATGGCCGATTGTATTGAAGCGCTGTTCGCTTTGGTTATCCTCTTACGAAACGACATGGAAGGCATCGGACGACTTTACTTGGAACTTTACAAACATCACATGCGAAATGCAAGACTTATTTGTGGTCTTCAGCATCAACGACGAATCTGCCCCTGCCCCCGCCCCCGCCTCGACGTAAGAGAGACGTAAGCGACGCCGCCTCTTAGCTCCGAAGCTCTTGCCTCTACACCGAAAAATGTTTGGAGCTGGAAGTTAACCGGATGCCGGAGCTAAGAGGTGGCGCCACTGCGGTGTGAACAGGAAAAACCAGTACTTTTCAGGCTCCAGCTTCGAGTCCGAGCTGAAAACGCGTTGGTGTGAAAGGGGCATTATACTCATAACTCTATACCTCAGACACTATGGCATAACATGGAAACAACACTAAAACTATATTCACAATATATTTAACCCATTAAGGTAAATTATTATAATATGAACAATGTAAGAAAAACCTTTAATACTGAGTTTTGTAGCGTTCCCCCAAGCTCCTCAACCCAAAAACAGGTTAAGGAGGTGAAAAAACAATAAGATAATTACAAATAAATGAAACAAGGTTCTCATACATTTTAGTTTGTAGTGATTAACATCACAGTCTTCATCCGTTGCCCTGTATCGACTAAAAATCAAGTGTACCTTATTGTGGTGTAAAGTTTCAATGTTGTGCACGTTTTGGACAAAGGTTAAATCCGTCCAACAAGCATTTTGTCAAACCATGTTCGAAGTCCAAAATGTAGCTACATTTAGTGTTCAATAATGTAGATACCCTTTGTGCTAATCTAGTGAGCAACACATTCTTAATATTGTTAACACATCTCTTCCAGACTCTCCAAAGCTCCCCTCTGTGTCAGTGAGTCCCTCTGCTGAGATACAGGAGGGCAGTTCAGTGACTCTGACCTGTAGCAGTGATGCTAACCCAGCAGCTAACTACACCTGGTACAAGAGGAATAGAAAAGAATACCTTCCTCTTTTAAAAAAAGAACCAAAGCTTGTCTTCAGCTCCATCAATTCCTCTGACTCTGGACAGTACTGCTGTACAGCTGGGAACAAGCTGGGGACGAAGGCATCTAAAGACATCTCTATTGATGTGAATTGTGAGTAATTGTTGTTAGTTTCTTATATCTACTTGCTATACATTTAGAGTCTGGTGTAATTCACCGAGAAGCTTCAGGAGATTATAGAAGCTTTGTCCGGTTTAAAGTCCCAGAATCAAACAATGAGCCATCCATTTATCACTCCACCTTCAAAGTCTAAAATGCATCTACACAGCTATTCACATTTTGTGATTGAAATACTCTGTACAACATGTACTACGTGAGAATCAACTTCACCGAGGGTAATCTTTGCTGAACCCCAACCCCCCCCCGCCCCCGGGCGGAAAAACGCATCATCTGCAGGACACAGCGTCTGAGGGCATCTTAATATTTAATAAACTATGAATATTTTATATCCATGTAACGGGAAGAAACTCAGCTAACTGATCTTTTTTCTTCTTCTTTCAAATATATAAAATCTACATTGATTCTGACTTTTCTACATCCAACTCACAGGTTTATTATTACTTTGAGAAAAAAGATTATTAATTTTCCCCTTTTTAGAAATGTAGTTATGGTCATTTTTTTTGTCATTGTCATTTTGTACCCTGTACAACATGTACTACATGAGAAACAACATCACTTAGGGTAATCTTTGTTAACACATTTCTATTCAAGAACTGGAGCAGAACTTTCCCATAACTGGGCAAAGGTGTAAATCCAAGAAAGATCAATGCACAGTACTGCCCACATGGAAGAAAGGCTGATTATATTATTAGCAGAAGAAAGTCAGAATGAGCAGCTGCAGTGGGGCAAGCCTCAGTAACATCAGTAATCATAGGAGGGCTTCTCATCCTCTTTTGACCTGAGGCTTCAGTAAAAGTCCGGTCTGTGTGTAAGGACAGCTCTGTCGGATGCCTTATTATGGTGTCAGTTATTTCAGTATTTACAGTGGGTGTCAGTTAATTCATTATGTGGTGACTATTGCCACTCAATATCACCTGGGATTGACCAAACTGGGTTTAACTAATTGGACGCGTGTAATCTCCAAGTATGACGAAGTGTAGCTTTCAATATCTTTTATTTTCAAAGAAAACAGCGTGTTCACAGACATGCTAAAAAAACGATTGCTCTCCCAGTCACAATCAATGCACCTGTGCCTGGAGATCACTTGTATGCTGTTGCCCCATTACGCCATCTAGTGTTCAAATAACAAAACATATAAACCATTCTAATGGGCGCAACACATATCATGTCTGATAAATATCCAAGCATACAGTATACTAATACTACAAATGCAAATACTGTGACTCTGGCATAAAATGGGCTATGGACTAGTGTTTACATTTTAAATTCTATATGTGCTATAGATGAATATTCATCCTGACCGTGGCCACTCAACAACTCATTATTTCAATGTACATTTGGAAATGTGTCTTTCTTATATCCTTCCAGTTGTGTGTATAAAACCGCAGGAGGTCAGTCTCCTAACCGTTTTTGCTAATCTAGTAAGCAACACATTGTCTTGGATGCAACTGGTGCAGTGTTAAACCAAATGTAAAGTACATGCATAGCCTTTCTAAGTAAAGCCATAACATATTGCAATCACTTTTGTTATTGCAACATTTGAAGTCCCAGACGCACATTGCTACACAAACTGTGTTTGTCTTCAGTGTGAGGAGATTTTGAGTCACTTAACATTGTTGTGATGCATCTTCTTCAAAAAGATGAGGCCATGAAGAGAAAACTTGTGGCCAAATGTCATCGTCAGGTCTATCAGGAAATATTTTAATCTGCCATCTTTGCAGATTTGATAACACCCTGTCTCATGGAGCAGGGTTTCTATTGTAGATGGAAGTGAAGTGAGCTTAATCGTTGTGTTGCTGCTTCTGGTTTGTTGTAGCCATATGCCCACAAAACTGGTTTCTCTCTTTTGTCCTCCAGATGCTCCAAAGACTTCCTCTGTGTCAGCGAGTCCCTCTGCTAAAATAGAGATTGGCAAATCATTGCAGCTGACCTGTAAAGGTGGCGCTAATCCAGCAGCTAACTACACCTGGTACAAGGACAATCAAACACTGCCTTGGGGGTCAAAAGACATTCATCAACTCGTCTCTATCACCTTAGAGGACAAAGGGAACTACCACTGTGAGTCTAAGAATAAGTACGGCCAGATCAACTCGACATCAGTACACATAGATGTCCAATGTAAGTACAAAACATCAACAAGTCACCTAATATACATGTGTTGAGTAGAGATGGTGATTGTTAACCTGTGATGATCTTTCCCTGGTAAAAACATTATCTAAAATAAATTCATAAAGCACGTCTATCACCTTTTGATGTCTAACATATTCACATGCCATGTGTACGTTAAAAAAGGTTTGTGATCCCTTGAGTCATTCCTCGAGTCCATGCCAGCTTGGAAGCAATACCTCTAAAAAGAGTTGGATTTCATGTCATGCTACTATGTCACTGTTACTTCTAAGGTTTCATTTGTTTTAGTCCAAAATGCCTCTGTCTTTGATAAAGGGATGACTCTTTATTGGCTGCAGCTGAAGGATTTACGCCATTCATGACATGAGCTCTCCATACTTTACTCTGTGATTTGCCTACTTGGCTTTCTTTATGTAAATCTTAGGGATGAACACATTTTTCATTTTTCTAGTTTCATTTGTTTGGTCCTCTTATGTCTGCTGAGAGAGTAAACCAACGTTTCAATCAAATGAACTGTGGCTTTCAACTAAGGATACGACTCGAGCTAAGTGGCACAATCTTTGCAGGAACAATGTACACATCGTAGGATCAAGAACATGTGTTTGCTGCTAATAGATTGATTGACTAACGATCTTATCAATCTCCTAAAATATTGCATAGTACACAATCTAGATTGCAGTGCTCAGGTCAAAAACAAGGCCACTTTGTTTCCCCTTCCGCACACCTTGATGATATCAAGTGGGGAATTAGTAGATCTACTTTACTAAAGATACACTTCTACACATTCTCTTCCAGATGCTCCAAAGCTTCCCTCTGTGTCAGTGAGTCCCTCTGCTGAGATAGAGGAGGGCAGTTCAGTGACTCTGACCTGTAGCAGTGATGCTAACCCAGCAGCTAACTACACCTGGTACAAGAGGAATGAAGACTCTCCAAAAGCTTCAGGACAGATCTTCAACATCACTGACTTCAGAGCTGAACACAGTGGGAGTTATTACTGTGTAACCCAGAACAAAATAGGACGTCTTAACTCTACCTTACATCTGTCTATTGTGGCAGGTAAATCATTTCACACCACAGGACCTCCCAAGAGGCACAGCAACTTTAGCACTACAATTCTTTGAAGATCCAAGATGCAATTAACTGTTACACTCTCTGGACAGAATTTTTATTTTGAATTCTAAATCTGAGGTTTGCTACTCGAAGTTGCCGGACTTTTTGTGATAATTTCAAGCACCCACATAGTCTACTTCCCCTCTCTGCTAAGCCACAGGCATCGACAACAACCTCTGCATTACTCTGCATTGGGTTGTCAACCAGTACAACCAATCTATATTTATGTTTGCCTTACCATTGGTCATCTTGCTAAAGTGAGGCTTTTTGACTACTTGCAAGTCTTCCAACACTCTCTGCTCTCCCAGTCGAGGTCAGCACTTCTTCACTTTTAACAAGATGCTAGGAAAGGTCTTGCCTCCCTTTTTTCAGTCACCTGACAGATTGCCAGAATGTCATCGAGTCCCTCTCTTTGGCATCGAAAACTATAGTTTCCCAAATGTTCCATGAAATATTTGTGGGCAGCATTCCTGATAAGGTGATTAACCTCATCACTAAGTTGGGATCAACTGACTGCTCTGCTAAAGAATCCAAGACAGAGATTTGAACAATTGAGTGCAAAGTCAACTATTAATCGTTAGTCTGGGGGGCGCCAATATCAACGGTTGTTTCCGTTTTAAAAACACCCTTGTGCTGTTGATCATTTATGGGATGCAAAAGCAAAAACTCAAATGTAATATAAAAGCTAATTGTCACTGTTTCCCAGGTTCAATGAAATCAGTCGCTGCTGGATCAATAACTGCTGTTATTGTGGGTATCATATTCCTCATTGCCTTTCTGTTGATTAGGTAAGCAGTTCAGTTTTACTTTGATTACGTTCAGTTATGCTTCACAGTTATTTAATGTTAAGATTAATTTTTTTGTTAATTCACTTTGTTTTCCAGAAGAAAGAGGTCCTCGAAACCAACCACGGAAGCTGGAGAGAGACCAGACAACGACGCTCAGGTGAGAAAGCAGATTTCAGGTGTCACTAAGGGTCAACCCTCATCTGCAAACTCATTTGAACAGTGCATCATGTCCCAGTTTGGAAACGTCCTTTTCCCAAACTAAACGTGACTCAGGAGGTGGAGTGAGTCATCCATTAATCACAGTGTTGAGGCTTTGATCCCTGTCTGTGTGTTTAAAGACCAAAATAAATGTAATCAAGATGCTCTTCATGGGCCATGTAGTACTTTTTCGGTGAAGCTTTGTCGCCATCTGTGTGTGAGTTTGGTGAATGAGAGGCCTTTTTGCAGTGCTTACCAGTGTGCAGGTGATTACCATTCAGTACCTATCATACTTTCTTTTTTCCTCCTGTTAAATTCAATTTGATAAATCCATAGCTATGCTTTTGTCTTTTCAAACTGTGTCATACGGTTATCAACATTATGTGTAAGGTGTCTTTGGTCTTTCCATTGCTTGGGATGTAAACCTTTCCATACATGTAAGCATTTTTTAAATATTGGGGGATACAATGACAATAACAGAAGTGATCTCAAAGCAAGCAGCCACCTCAGGTCTGAAAGATTAATCCAATGCCAAAGTGCCTTAAGGCTGCATTCTTTCCAATGGCCAGCAGAGAGCGAATCCACTGGCTATAACACAGCATCTGATTGTGTAGAATTCTATGAGAAAATGACCCTACTTTTAACATGATTTATTTACCTCAGTATATGTTTTCCTGATGAGTTTATGGTCTTACTTGATGATTTAAAGTCTTCTTTAATACAGCACAACTGATGTGTTGTAAGTTATGGTCCCATTTAGAGTATATTAGCAAAAAGGTGACTTGTTATCAAAAAACATAATGTTGTCCACAATTGTTTTTTTACAACTTGAACCAATTTGCAGTCCTAAAAAAAGTTTTTGTAATATGTTTTTTGTTCAGAATAGAACAGAACATTGAGGTGGCAGTGGGCAAAATACCAAATTCAAGGCTTCAACACCATAATTAGCCAAATTCATATTGATCATGTCAACTTCTTAAATACAGTTTATGCCTCAAACCTTTTAATCACTTTTAGACTTTGAAAATTGCACTTGACTTTGAAAGATGAGGACATTTAATAAATCGAGGAGTTTTTGGTGGCTGATTTGGAATTTTTAAATGTACTGAAATTGCAAAGAAGCCCCATTGCAAAAGTAATGGTGATTGTGTCTTAAAGGCCAATCTATGAGACACTAACCACTAGAAATATATGTTGTTTGTCTTTGTGATGTTTCCTTCAGGTACGCATGTATGACCGCCCTTCAGCTGAAGTACAGAATGCAACACCAGAGCCGGAGGCCGAGGTTTGCTATGCCAGCGCGAGATTCATTCAAAACCAGGAAGATGCTCTCTACTCCAACATCAAGCCCGCTCATCTCCGCAGACACAAGAAGGACGAGAAGGACAAGGAGGAAGATGTTGTGTACTCTACTCTCACATTTAAAGGTCACAGTGCTACTGCAGAGTGAGTAAAAGATCCTCTTTCTTTGCTACATAAAGTTATTATGTTGTTTCATCCTTCTTTACAAAAACATGTTCTTAGTCATTAATGTGAGTTTATAATTTGCTTTATCAACAGATCAGAACGTCATGAGGCTGCGGACGATCCATCTGCATTGTACAGCGTAGTCAACAAAAAACCAAGAGTATTGACATAACATCTGTGTTCTCTTCAACAGTGCTCAAACTGTTTAAACACACATATAAATATAAGGTCTGCTGGATTACTAGTATCATGTAGCTAACGTATGCTGAAGCTTGTAATTTATAAATTCCAAGACAGAAAACTATTTTTAAGCTTCTCAAAGTAGCCCACATTTCTCTATGTACAATATATATTTAACATCATCTTTTTCTGCTCTGATGTTCAGTTTAATTGCCTTTTTATTGTTTAACATGTTGATAATATTCATTTTATTCATATTTAACTTCTGCTTCATTGTCATCATAAGTTAGTGTTTTGTTAAACATTTTTTTGTAATTTGTAAAACTGATTTGATGTCACTGATGTGTATTGTTTGTAAGTAACCATATCATTAAATAAAGTTATTCAGTTCATTACCTGTTACTGATTGTCAACATTTCTAAGCCAGGTGTTTAATGTTTAAGTGACGAGGGAGCCAGAGGGACATCCTAATAGTTTCATAAGGGGCTTCATCTCAAAACAGTGTATTATTATGAACGCCTAATGTGACTATGACTACATTGGTGAGAGCTATGATGGCTCATGGATGTCTATAAATCAAAGGGGCGGAGGTTCAGTCCCCTGCAGTCAACATGTCAAACTGTCCTTTGGCAAGATTTATAAGCCACATTGGGTCCTGCATGTCTACCGTATTGTAGGTAGGTTGCTTTGGATAAAAGTGTCAGCTAAATTACATTTAACGTAAGTAATACTGACAGTATTAGCATCACAGTATACTTGAAGAACTAAATGAAAAGTACTGGGGAGAGTTGTTTCATTACGTATTTGTATTGCTCCTTAGGCATAACAATCAAGATTTAACCTTTTTTCCCAGTTTTTTCAAAGATATTTTTAAATGTCAACTCTGCTGGACAGGATGTGTTTTTGTTTTCCACTGAATAAATATTTTTATAAACAAATGAATAAAATGATGAATAAAGATGTGCAAACTTAAAGGGGACCTATCATGCAACATGCACTTTTTTATATCTTTTATACATAAATAGGTGTCCCCGGTGTGTCGGGGAACTCACGCAGCGTCAGAAAATAAAACCCTTTTTCTTTTCCTTAAATCCCCAATGATCATGAACATCACCAGGTTGGTTCTGGGGGTTCTGGTGCTGATTCCTCTGCCCCTTTTCTTTCTCTGTATGAGGTAACTCTTTAAATACATAATCATATCCAGCATTGATATGTTCCCCTGTGTACTGACTCTCATATTTATAAATCTGTTTGTTTTTGGATTAAATTCAGGAAGAAGAATGCTTCGAGCTCCACCACTGAAGTGAATGAACCCATAGAGACTGTGGAGGTGAGACAGCGACAGATTGTTCTATAGCATCTGGTTATTAACTGTTAATAAACAAGGTCACATATCACATATTCATTACTTGGTTTCATAATTTTAGTTTAAAGTGGACCTATCATGCAACCTCTCATTCCCCTGATAGGTGGAGAGTTGGCCATATAGGCGGAGCTCCTCATTTCTGACGTCAGAGATATTTCAAATCTGGATCAGTCTGTATCAGATCTGTTGCAGCCCCGTTTTTAGAGATTTGGGTATGGAAGAAAAGAGAGAGGGTTGTGTTTTCTGACACTTGGTGAGTTCCCTGACACACCGGGGGCACATATTCATGTATAAAAGATGTACAAAAGTGCATTTTGCATGATAGGTCCCCTTTAATATAAAATATAATTGTATTTCTCTCAAATGATGGCCTCTGACTCTCCTCTCGTTGTCTCTCCATCAGTTGGACCCTTGTTCTGTGTATGAGAACGTCTCAGACCTGAACATGGTCTCTGCAGAACAGACAGAAGAACCAGAGGAGCAGGAGGACCTGGTCTGAAGGTCAGCAAGCTCTCACTCAGCTGTATTTATGAAAACAAACCCAAAACAACTTCCTGAGAAATAACTCACCAGAAATGTACATGATTTATTTTAGATGCATCAAACCAGAGGGAGACTCACCTGGATGAAACAGAGAGAAGTGAAACATTTACCCTCAGGTTTCCATGGTGTTAAGTAACAGTAGGTAGGAGTGAAAGCAGTCAGAAACAACATGTAGCAGGAGATGGAGTAAAATGTGTATTTTAATGTAAAGTGTATACACACACTTTACTGCAAGAGTGGGGGTGTAAACAGATGTGCATCAGCTTACATTTAGCATCCTAACTACTTTTATTTTCAGTATTCCTTCAATGTGTATATTTTATAATGAAAATGTCATGGAAAAGTAAAATTGGGGAAAAACAGAAAGAAAGACAGTATTTGCACTTATGTCCCCATAAGGGAGGCGACTCCCCACACGTGAGTCTGTAAACAGATGTAGGTCCCCACAAGGTTCGTAATGCTAGATCACACACACACAAACACACACACAAACACACACACACACACACACACACACACACACACACACACACAGGTTGATTCTTCAAACACCTTACTTATTGTTGAATTCTGATCCTCATATTAATCCATTCATTCCACCTTTCCAAATATGTATACGTATAGATGTCTTATTTTTGTATTTCTAAAATGATGCTTACATTTGACTCCTTGTTGTTAAATGAAGGTTAAACCAGTTCCTCATTCTCTTTCTCACAGCTGTTCTTCTAAGCATCCTTTATACATATCTGTAACTTGCTTCTTCCTCTTTTAAAACATGTTTTAAGTTCTTCTTTAAACCTCATCATAGATTGTGCTTCAATGTTTAATCAGACAGTACATCTTGAAAATGTGACTGCTATTGGTTTCCTTCTCTTTTCTGAATTGTTATAGAGTCTAAAGTGTAAACAACTATACAAATGAACCTGAGTTTAATTTTAATCCTTTTTCAAGCTTTTGGAAAAGTAATCTTGCTGTTTTCCAGAGACCAATATGTTAGGTTGTCCGTCTGTAACGTAACTGTCCACTGTGCCATTTGTATCAATTGAGAGTTAATAAATATACATTAAAAAAGTGATAAATGTCTATGTTAAGCTTGGCTGAATATTCTCTGTATGAATTATATTGATATTAACACTAAAAATCAAAGGTCAGCAGATCCAGTTCAGTCCTCATCAGGCATCATTTATAAGACAGCAGCAGTTTGTTATTAGCAAATGATTAAAAGACAGGATTTCTCACAAAGATCTGGAAATTTCCATCAAAGTGCGTTCAAAAATATGAAGTGTAGAGGGCAAGGGTTCATCTTTGAACAAATATGGTCTTATAAGAGTTTCTGGTAAAGCATCAGAAAGACAGGTTGGTTAGTCACACTTCTACTGAGATCCGTGCACACCCTGCACCTCAGACCATAATTAGGGATGCACGATATTGTTTTTTTGAAACCGATACCGATAACTTCCTGCTTCTCAAGACCGATACTGATAACCGATACAAAAAAAATGTACACCACTAATTATTTTAACGCGATTAACGCATGTGTATTTTTTTTCCTCGGCCGCCCCGTAGTTTCAGAGCGCATCGAGTTTAAAATACCATCTACAAGCTGATGCTGACAGCCCCGCTCCTGCCGCCCGCTTGTGGCAGACCACACTTCCACGCTCACCGGCAGGCACCGACTGGCTATTGGGAGGACCGGGAGGGTGTGTGTATGTGTGGCCCGAGCGAGCGAGAGAGAGACCTTACGTGCATTGTTGTTGTTAGCATCTGGTGCTAGCTAGCTGCGCTAACGGATATAAGGAGCTGTTTAAATGAAAACAGAGGAGCGACATTTCGCCACAACTGCGCCGAGCACTTGACTTTATGCAGGAAGCCAGACAGTGGGACATTGTACGAAAAGTCAGCACACTCAGCACGGATAGTGCGCAACATGATTGCAGCGTCCAGGCAGCTCCCGTTCGAGCATATGCCTTGAGTTGCACATAGCTCCAACGCCCATACCACCGACGACATGTTTGTTTACTGTCCTGGCTTCACGGCCGCACACCATTTACGTCACAGCCAGGCATGAGTTAGGGAGCGCTGGATTTGTGAACAACTCCCTTCTTCCTAAACCACTAATACCACAGTACTGGCAAAACGGGAGGAGCCGAGTGAAAAACAAGCGCCCCTCATCCCAATCCACCCACACCGCAGTATGTTTTCTTTTTTTTTACCCAAAAAATATATTGTATATTATCGGGGCTATTAATACTGGTATCGGGTTTATCGGGATGACGTCATAATTCCTAATATCGGACCGATAATTATCGGACCGATAATTATCGTGCATCCCTAACCATAATACTACAGGTGAAGAGCAAATCTAACTGTCGTGGCTTCCTTCCTTATTTTCCATCAAGCCACTAGACGCCTTAAACAGACATTTCTAACTTGTTTCCTTTCCTTTACACTTGTGTTACTCACAGTTGATGAGTTGCTTGGCATCCGATGGTGGGATGATATTGTGCAATACTCAAAATAAAATAACAAGCTTTTTACACAAAGAAAACAGGCCTTTACAATAGTCAAAACAATAGAGGCAAAACTCAACTAAAACAATAAGCAACTTAGGTATTCTTTCTTGCTGTCTTTCTATGTTAAGGCTGGTATCACTTTGTAACTTAAAGGAATGTCACGATTAGGTGGCCTTTTTTATAAAATACTTGCTCTAACACCAACATCAATGATGATTTTTCACAACAAAACAACCATGCACTGTGTTAGTTCCTGTTTTAAGGATCAGTGGGGCTTCAGGGATGCCCATGTCCAGTTGTTTGAATGCATCGTTTGCAAAACCATAGCAGGAATAAGTTCTTCATTTTAACCTAAAGCCTTTTTTAAAGCATCTCTATTTTCAAACTGAAAAGAGGAAGGGATCCCCAGCAGTTTTTTAGCACATTGACATAGTAACAGAGGAAACGTCCCATTTCTCTTGTATGTGATACCTGATTTATCAGAGACGTGAGGAGCAGCTATGAGTTTACCAGCGAGAGGATTTGTCGTCTTCCTTCTCTCTACACAAGGTACTGTACATCTCTTTCTATTTGAAGGCAGTGAATGCACCTCAGAAATGCAGAAGATGCTAAGTTTATGAAAAAATTTAAAATAGTGTTGAAGATTTTGATGGGGCACAAGTATTGTCCCCAGCTGTGTCTTGTCTCTTGATTGATCATGTATGTATTTAAGTTCTGGTTTGGTGGGTTCTTTTTTCTTTTAGTACTTGTTGGTTTCTACCCCTGGGCCGTCAGGCTGCTCAACCACCACACATAATGCAATAACTGTAACCATTCTCACACATACACACACTTTTAAATGCACTTTATATACTATTTTTTATATCAATATTTTTAACTATTTATTCCCCGTATGATTGTATGTTGTCTGTCCTATTGCCGTGTTTTTTAGTGTTATGTATTTGTTTGTATTTTTTGCACACCGGGACAGAGTTGCACTCTGAATCTCGTTATACTCTGTGTATAATGACAACAAAAGGCTTTAACTTAACTTTAACTTTATCCAGTTGCCCTGAATAAAGTTTATTTTCAGTTAAAACATTCGTCTGTCTGCACTTAGCAGACCCTCACCCTGCGCTGCTCAACCTTAACAATAGGACCTGCAATTTTATGATGATTCAACCTCAACCCTAGGCTCAGTTTAGTCAAATAAATCAACAGGGGGCGCTCATGTAGCTCACCTGTTAGAGAAAGCCATGTATCAAAAGGGGGTCCATCCAATGAAGGCAAAACGATAGAAATAATATAAAACTGCAATAAAACAGTCAGAGTTTTACCCTACAATTTACTTGGATAGCGTTGGAGAATATGTAGCTGTGAGAAATGTGGACTAAGCAGCTTCACCAATGAAAATGTGTCTCCTTGATGTTGATATGAGTCTAATGAATGTTTCTGGTGTGCTCTGTGTTTCAGTGGCTCAGGGTCAGAAAGACTGGGGAGTGACTTACTCTTCTACTGAGATCTGTGCAGTGAAAGGATCAACAGTGGAGATAAGATGCAGCTACAGATACCCATCTAGATGGAGAGGCATAGTTAACAGAGTTAAGAAAACATTCTGGTTTAAACAGAAAGGTGGTGAACCTGTAGATCTGACCACAGACTCAGAGTATGCAGGTCGTGTAGAACACCTCTGTGAAAACAACATCTGCACTCTGAGAATCAAAGACCTGATAGAGAGCGACTCAGCTGAGTACAAGTTCAGATTCGCCACAAACTATGATGAGTTTGTGGCGAATCTGGAGTCACTTTGTCTGTCACAGGTAACACTCATCTTTTATATTTCCAAATGTTCAGTAGCTCAAAATAATATCATTGAGCGGTGTGGTTTTTGCACGTATGTTGAGAGTTTTGTCGTTCCTGTTTCTTCTTCATAAATCCAGATCTCCAGTTGAAGGTGAGCAGAGCGTATTCAGGCCAGGCAGAGCTGAAGTGTCACACCAGCTGTCGGGCACCTGATAATACTTCCTACATCTGGTACAAGAATGGAGAGGAACTTTGGACAGGAATATCTTACTCTGGTTTAGTCAACTTTGGTTCAGCAGACATCTATTCCTGTGCTTTAAACGGACAAGAGAATCACCGTTCTCCTTCAGTGTGTGAGTTCACTGCACTGTTTTAAAGAGGACATTTTATGCTCATTCTCAGGTTCATATTTGTATTTCCTGTCTCTACTGGGAAATGTCTCCATGCTTTAATGTTCAAAAAGCTCTTTATTGTTCTCATACTGTCCGTGCTGCAGCACCTCTTTTCACCCTCTGTCTGAAACCAGAGCCCAGTCTGCTCTGATTGGTTAGCTGGCCGGCTCTGTTGTGATTGGTCAACCGCTTAGAGATGTCCCGCTCCTTAGCCAATCACGTACAAGGTGTTGGAGCGCAAGCGCTCTCCCTGATGGAGATAAACTCCCTCTGCAGGAACACAGGGATTTTAGCTTTTGCAGACCATTTACATGCACTCAAATCTATATGACACACTACAGGAAAGAGAAACCCCCAAAAGCATAACAGGGCCTCTTTAACCTCTTCTGTTTTTGCACTTTGTCATTATCGTTAAGGTTTGCTTCCTCTTTTTAGGGGGCACTAAAGAAAAGCTAGTTTGATTTTGCCTTTACAGTAAAAGTGATATTTCTACTCATCTCCTCCAGATGCTCCAAAGCCTCCCTCTGTGTCAGTGAGTCCCTCTGCTGAGATAGAGGAGGGCAGTTCAGTGACTCTGACCTGTAGCAGTGATGCTAACCCAGCAGCTAACTACACCTGGTACAAGAAAAATGGCTTAATATATTCCAGTGAAGAATATCAGATTGTCTTCAGCTCTATCTATTCCTCTGACTCTGGAGAGTATTTCTGTTCAGCTGAGAACGAGCTGGGGAGGAGGACATCTGAAAATTACTTTATTGATGTGAAATGTGAGTCAAACAACTTATTTAAAGGTTTAATCTGTCCATTTATGGCATGGGAAGGTTGTACTATTCATTACTACTTGTTCAGCTCTATTATTTTATGATTGAGTTTTGTTACCACATTTCCTCCAGATGCTCCAAAGCCTCCCTCTGTGTCAGTGAGTCTCTCTGCTGGGATGATGCTAACCCAGCAGCTAAATACACCTGGTACAAGGATGAAACTTCATACTCTTCTATTCTGAATGAAGAACCACAGCTTGTCTTCAGCTCCATGCAGGCCTCTGACTCTGGAGAGTATTTCTGTACAGCTGAGAACAAGCTGGGGAGGAGGACATCGGAAAAGTTGTTTATTGATGTGAAATGTGAGTGAAACAGTTCATTATAAGGTTCAATCTACAGGGGGATATTTTACTGATCATAACTACAAACTTCCCTCAGCTATTCTCGGCTATCAGTCGGATACAATTCACTGAGCAGCCTCAGGAGATTTTAGGAGTTGTATGCCCATGGAAAAAACTGAAACTTTGACTTTAATTAAATATATTATGTCAACAAAGGTCACATAACTGTATTAGGTCAGATTATTATATTAAGTTGAACCTAATATTTTGAATTTCAACGTAATATTATTGCATTCAGTTATCCTGATACAGTTATGTGGTGATTGTTGACATAATACATTTAACTAAAGTCAACATTTTTGTTTTTTAAGTGTTGCTTTTTCAAACTCCTCACATAGTCTAACCTCGGTTCAAAGAAGCCAAACTATTTTAAGAATATACAGAAAAAGGAAGTTTTTTTATATATATATATATATTTGTTTTATATTAATGCCATCGTGCAGTCGAAACAGATTTGGTTTTCAGTCTACGACGCAAGTTGTGTCACCTTTCTGCTGTTCTGGTGTTGATGGTGTAGGAGCAAACACAGTGGTGGTGGCTTAAAGCCCACCTCCGCTCCGCGCCGTCCGTTAGATGAGCCTGGTCAGGTTAATAAGAGAAGGAGTTCAAAACACCGGAATAAAAGTTATAACAATAATCTGATTTTAATGGTAAAAAACACCAATACAAGTTACAGAGTACTCTGGACTCCCAGTTCTACTGCTGTGCGATACAGATATCGGGACCAGCCAGTCAGAAACATAGATATATTTGGGGGCAGAGTTATGCCGGTTGCTCCGCCCCCCCAAATCTCTAATTGGTCGATTTCACTCCTAAGCGAATCAGAGAGTCCGTGGGGAGGAGTTGTGTTGGTTGCTCACTCCCCTAGGTGTTCTTACTGGTTGGATTCACTTCGGGTCGGGCCCAATACAGCGAATCAGAGTTCTGGGGAAAAGTATTTTACTTCTGAACAGAGCGTGACAGCTTCGGAAGTAAACAAGGACAGAGTCAATCTTTATCTTTCACCTGAGTTCACTCCTTTACTTTCCCAAGGAATATTTCACACAAACTATTCTTTCCCAGACAATCAAACATTGTACACAGATATATTGGTGCCTGAGATTATATTGGCCCCAGAAAGAACCTTGAAAAGAATATGTGTGTGTGCTGGTATCTGGGTCAGTGAGTGTGAGTGAGAAGGTTATATATATATATAGGATTACTTGAAAACAGTCCCAAATAATACATGTTCACTTCAATACAGTCAATACTGTAACTTGCTTCTTCCTCTTTTAAAAAATGTTTAAGTTCTTCTTTAAACCTCATCATAGATTGTGCTTCAATGTTTAATCAAACAGTACATCTTGCTATTGGTTTCCTTCTCTTTTTTGAATTGTTATAGAGTCTAAAGTGTAAACAACTATACAAATGTGACTCAGCTTAATTTTAATACTTTTTATTTAGCTTTTGGAAAAGTAATCTTGCTGCTTTCCAAGAGACCAATATGTTTGGTTGTCCGTCTGTAATGTAACTGTCTACTGTGCTATTTTTATCAATTGAGAGTTAATAAATATACATTAAAAAAGTGATAAATGTCTATGTTAAGCTTGGCTGAATATTCTCTGTATGAATTATATTCATATTAATACTAAAAATTAAACTTCAGCAGATCCAGTTCAGTCCTCATCAGGCATCATTTATAAGACATCAGTAGTTTGTTATTTGCAAATGATTAAAACACAGGATTTCTCACACACATCTCATTTCCATCACAGTGCGTTACAAAATATGAGCTGTAGAGGGCAAGGGGTACATCTTTGAACACATATGGTCTTATAAGAGTTTCTGGTAAAGCATCAGAAAGACAGGCTGGTTAGTCACACTTCTACTGAGATCTCTGCACACCCTGCACCTCAGACCATAATACTACAGGTGAAGAGCAGATCTAACATTAATGATGATGTTCACAACAAAACCACCATGCAATGTGTTTGTTCCTGTTTTTAGGATCTGTGGGGTTTCAGGGATTGCAATGTTGAATTGTGAGTCACCCATTTTCATCCAAAAGAAAATGCATCATTTGCAAAACCATAGCAGGAATAAGTTCTTCATTCTAACCTAAAGCCTTATTTTAAGCATCCCTATTTTCAAACTGTAAAGAGGAAGGAAACGTAGTTTTTTAGCACATTGACAGAGGAACCGTCCTATTTCTCCATTATGTGATCTAACTGATTTATCATCAGAGACGCGAGGAGCAGCTATGAGTTTACCAGTGAGAGGATTTGTAGTCTTCCTTCTCTCTGCACAAGGTACTGTACATCTCTTTCTATTTTAAGGCAGTGAATGCCCCTCAGAATACAGAAGAAGCTAAGTTTATGAAAATAATCGGTGCACAAGTATTGTCCCCAGCTGTGTCTTGTCTCTTGATTGGTCATGTATGTATTTAAGTTCTGGGATTGGTGGGTTGTTTTTGCGATGAGAGGGAATGAGAGTACTTGTGGGTTTTGCATTTATCCAATAATCCTTGAATTAAGTTTATTTTCAGTCAAAACATTCCTCTGTCTGCACTTAGGTCTACCCTGCACTGCTCAACCTTACCAATAGGACCTGATTTTTGATGACAATTCAACCTCAACCCTAGGCTCAGTTTAGTCAAATAAAACAACAGGGGGCGCTCATGTAGCTCACCTGTTAGAGAAAGCCATGTACAAAAAGGGGGTCCATCCAATGAAGGCAAAAAGGTAGAAATAAGACCTGTTCATGTGTCTTCTCGCAATTATCACTGGCCCCGTGCATCTCCTGATCGCTATAACCGCCCTGCTCTCGTCTATCCCACATGCTCCACTGAGATCCAACATCTAGTTTCAGGTGGCCTGTGGAACTGCCAGTCAGCTGTTCCTAAGGCTGACTTCATTTCTGGCTACGCCTCCCTGCAGTCTCTGGATTTCCTTGCTCTCATGCCCCTTTCACACCAACGCGTTTTCAGCTCCGGCTCGGAGCTGGAGCCTGAAAAGTACCGGTTTTTCCTGTTCACACTGCAGAGGCGCCGCCTCTTAGCTCCGGAATCTGGTTCACTTCCAGCTCCAAAAAATTTTCGGTCTAGAGGCAAGAGCTTCGGAGCGAAGAGGCGGCGTCGCTTACGTCTCTCTTACGTCGAGGCGGGGGCGGGGGCAGATTCGTCGTTGATGCTGAAGACCACAAAGAAGTCTTGCATTTCGCATGTGATGTTTGTAAAGTTCCAAGTAAAGTCGTCCCTCGTTTCGTAAGAGGATAACCAAAGCGAACAGCACTTCAATACAATCGGCCATTGTTGTTGTTGTCGATGTGAGGGATTTCCGCGCGGTTTGGATTTTATGAAGCAGGCACGTAAACAGTGACGTCATGACGCAGCAGCGGCAGCTCTGGGCGGTGTGAACAGAGCGGGAGCAGAAAAGGGAAACCGGAGCTGAACTAGAAAAGCTCCCACTCGGAGCTAGAAAGGGGAAAAGCGCTGGTGTGAAAGCCGCATCACTGAGACCTGGATTACTCCATCCAACACATCCACCCCAGCAGCTCTCTCCACAGCATATTCCTTCTCCCATACACCCAGACCAACCCGGTATCACGGCAAGACGTGAATATGTGACGATTTACCATGCTGGGAGACGTGAAGATGTCACAACTTTGTCCCTTCAAACGTGACAGTTACACGGTATTGTTAACCCATGGTAACCAGTGGAGAAATAACCGGAAATGCCAAGCAAATGCTACCCCGACGTAATGATTTATTTTGTAATAGTCACACTCGATTACACCGATTTTCTTGTTGCCCCAGCTGGTCGACACCTCTTTTAGCAGAAACAAACGCCATTGTAATACACGGTTCGGCTGCATTCAATATTAAGGCCCTGACACACCAAGCAGTCACCAGAGGACTCGCCGACGCCGACGTCGGCTGTTGCGTCGCGGTGTTCTCCTGCGTCTTGGCCATGTGTCGCACGGGAACACACAGCAAAGACTTCAGTGCGTGAGTGGCAATAACTCTCCTTACCAGCAGGCGGCGGTAGTGTGTATTCGTCATAAAAAATAGGCAACAACCGGAAGACAGAGAAGAAGAACAGACTGCGTGATATAAACAACAACAAATAGCGTGTGCAAACTGCAGCCTGGTTATGATCCACTGCTGTCTGCCCGTCTTTGGTGCTCCACAACTACCCGAAGGGGCAAGTCTCCTGTACCGGGTGTACTGGGTTCGGAGAGAATCCCACTTCTTCCTCAGCTCTTTCTCTGAAGCACACAAATAAACGATGTAAGCATTGTGGCTAGTTAGCATGTCCAATTCATATCTATATGCAGTGCCAAACTGCACAGCTAGCAACAGCTAGCAACAAGATAACAACAAAACACAAGGTTGAAATAACAAATTACATTTCACGTTAACGTCACTGTACGCTGGCAAACAATAAAAAGCCAACAATATCTGCTAAAGAGCTCAATTGATGAAAAAGATAATCTTACCCGAGAAACCAAGTTGCGTTTCAATCTCTCGCCAGAGTCCGGTTTTCACTACTCGGTTCGAGTACCTTTTCTCTGTGATGTCGTACAGAGCTGGCCTCTCCTGGATCAATGTGATGAGCAGGTCTTCGTTTGCGTCATTCCAGATCGCCATGATGAGATGAAAATGAATATCAGTCTGTGTGTGCCTTCTTAAATCGTTTGTTTACGTCCCTCACTTCCGTTTCGCTTCTCATGCACTGATTCGCTAGCTGAACAGCCAATCAGAGTGATTGTTTGGTCCGACTGCCAGACCCGATGCATCGGCCATGCATCGGGACAGGCAGTCCAAATAAGGCGTGTCACGGTCGACGGTGCGGGACATACCAAATTGAGTTTGGGCGACAGGACACGCTTCGTCTCCCGACTTACGAAAACAGCCGAAATCGGCCTGGTGTGTCAGGGCCTTTACATATCTGCCGTAATTCTCTCAGCCGAACCGTGTATTACAATGCCGTTATGTGATGACTTTCAAAGAGAAAAGCAAGCACACTCGGAATAAAGTATTATTTTATTTTTAAAAAACGTTTTCAGATTTGACATCACATAAACACCAAATCCCAGCATGCATTGCGGCTAAACCATCCAATCATCGAGCTGAGGATCTTGCCTACATCTGTTTCCGGTTCCACATCCACACAAATCGATTTAATACATTAATGTAGCCTTTGTTTCTGCTAAAAGAGGTGTCGACCAGCTGGGGCAAAAAGAAAATCGGCGTAATCGAGTGTGACTATTACAAAATAAATCATTACGTCGGGGTAGCATTTGCTTGGCATTTCCGGTTATTTCTCCACTGGTCAACATGGGTTAACAATACCGTGTAACTGTCACGTTTGAAGGGACGAAATCGTGACATATTCACGTCTCCCAACATGGTAAATCGTCACATGTTCACGTCTTGCCGTGATATCGGGTTGACCCAGACCCACTGGCAGAGGAGGTGGCACTGGTCTCCTGCTCTCTCCCAAATAGAGCTTCTCCCTCTTCAAGCTACCTAACTTCACTCCTTCCACCTTTGAATTCCATGCCGTTGCTGTAACCCATCCTATACAATTAACCATTGTTGTTCTCTACCGTCCACCAGGCACCTTGGGGGACTTCTTGGAGGAATTAGATAATCTCCTCTCACACATCCCTGAAACTGGCACTCCCGCTGTACTTCTCGGAGACTTCAACCTCCAGACAGGGAATATAGCTGAACTAACATCTCTTTTAACTGCCTTTGCTTTCTCACTGTCTCCATCCCCACCAACTCATAAAGCTGGCAATGTCCTCGATCTCATATTCTCAAGGACCTGCACTACTTCTAACCTCTCTGTAAACCCGCTCCACACATCCAATCACTTTATCATTTCATTCTCTCTACCCCTTTCCAAACATAACAAACTAATCTCTTCTCATCCTGCACCTGTCCGCCGTAACCTTCGTTCCCTCTCCCCCACTACCTTTGCCTCATCAGTGCTCTCAGCCCTCCCTTCCTCTGACTCGTTCCAACTCCTGCCTCCAAACTCTGCTGCAGAAACTCTCCTCTCTACTCTCTCATCCTCTCTGGACTCTCTATGTCCTCTCACAACTCGGCAGGCTCGCCAGTCCCCTCCTGCTCCCTGGCTAAATGACGCAATGCGTGCTAATAGAACCATCCTTAGGGCAGCAGAGCGGAAATGGTGGAAATCCAAACACCCTGACGACCTCCTAACCCAGGGGTCTGCAGCCTTTTTGACCAAAAGAGCCATTTTGCCCCCTTTCCCACCAATTTGTTTTGCCTGGAGCCGCAAAACATATTTGATAGCTTGATAGCTTATAAAGTTGTTGTAAGGGAAACTTCTGTAGCAATGGAGAGTCAGGACTCAGAGAGACACGAGGAGAGCTGGAGCTTTGATGTCAAACACTGACGGTTTATTTGGAATTACGGCCGGAGAGTTGACAAGACAGGTGGTGTGTCACTGTTACGTTTTCCGAGAGGACCCAAACGCAGGACAAGGCAGAGTGTTGGAAAAAGATTTATTTTGAGGTGGAGGAGCATGGAGAGTAATCCGGCTGGTGATGACAGCACGGCGGCCGGAGAGTGATCCTGGAGCACAAGAAGAACACGTAAGAAGAATATACGGTGTTGAGGAAAATAGCTAATAATGCTAAGGCTAAGAAGGCTGAGAGTTTTACCACTGTGGGTTAAACAACGATCTGGCGCTGACAGGTTGTGGAGCCTCCGCTGATATGGCATTTGTAAATGCTGAATCAGGTGTGTAGTAGGGGAGCGTGCACAGCTGATTACAGCAGGTGGAGGTTTGAGCCGGGAGCCAGGAGTGACAGCCACCACGCCCACACAAACACAGACAGGGAAAGGGAAAACAAACACAAGGGAGGCGGCTGGAAGAGTACAGCCACCACAGTCACGAGTTGACACAGCGGTTGCCAAACCAATTCTGAAGAACTCTTTATGCAGCTCGAGGTTTTAACTAGTTCGGAGTGTAATAATCAACATTCTTCATCAGTGAGACTAAACATTATGGACCCTGAATCTAACTAGAGCTCTCGTCCATAGGAAAGAATGCGCGTCAGGGAACCTTCGTCCCTGAACAGTAAACTACCTCATGGCGGCTTGTGCTCGGTCATAGACTGGCAACAACAATGCGCCCAAGCTGCCCCTCCTTAAGAGAGATAGCAGCAATACCCAAGGCCGTAGACCTATGACGTGGGAAAGGAGACAGTGAGAGGAGAAAATAATGAACTGTGTCAAAGGTTGAATACCCAAGCAAATTATTTCCCGTATATGTTGTTACATCATAGACAAAAACTACAGTTTTTTTGCATTTAGTATTTATTACATTATAGAAAACTTTTACCTCTAATAATAAACAAATAACTCCTATAAGGAGAATCAAAAAGAAATACACAAGCCAACTTTAAAATAAATCAACACAGCACTTGGGGAGTCCTCTGCACATTTGAAGAAAATTAATACAATTAAAATGGGCCCACTTTGAAATAAATAAAACATATAGCTGCACCCTAAAAAGAGTTTACTGATTGAATTATGACTGCAGATCGTCAGCTGTCTTCTTCTTCCTTGTTTTTCCTCCAATACGTAAAGGCTGCAGCACCTTTGAGAACTTCTCTCCACATATCAAACATCCCGGTAAGCCAGCATCGTTTGCTGTGAAAGCAGATAACTCTGTCCATGCAGGATTAAACCCTCTGTGTGTCTCCGATACTTTTATTTGATTTATCCATAGCTCGCTCATCGAGCCGGGGGTCAGGTTATCCACCTGCAAGAAAAGGCGCTGGCGGGACCATAGCAGGATATGACGCATATTTTAGTTGACCTAATTAAAACCGTTTTTTAGTGCAACAAAATATAAAAAGTCCTACAAATATTTGTATTTCCTTCTTATTTTTGTCTAAGCTCAAGGGAACCAGAGTAGAGGGCTTAAAGAGCCACATGCGGCTCGAAAGCCGCGGGTTGCCGACCCCTGTCCTAACCTATCAAGCTCTCCTCTCCTCTTTCTCTTCTTCGATCTCTCAGGCAAAAAGCACTTTCTTTCAAGATAAGATCCATTCTTCCTATTCCAATTCCAAAAAACTATTTTCCAAGCGACTTCGTTAACTAATTTGAAAAAAAGGTTTGGACCCTATACCATCAAACCTCCTTCAAACTATCCCTCCTGATATTCTACTGTTTCTCACCCATCTCATCAATACTTCTCTAACTTCTGATCACTTTCCAAACACTCTCAAGGAGGCAAGAGTAAACCCTCTTCTAAAGAAACCCACTCTCAACCCGTCAGATGTTATAAACTACAGGCCTGTCTCTCTCCTCCCGTTCCCGTCTAAAACACTTGAACGCGCTGTCTTTAGACAACTCTCCTGCTATCTCCATCAGAACAACCTTCTGGATCCGCACCAGTCTGGTTTCAAGGCAGGTCACTCCACAGAAACTGCCCTCCTTGCTGTCTCTGAGGAACTGCACACTGCTAAAGCAGCCTCCCTCTCCTCCGTCATCATCCTTCTGGACCTGTCTGCTGCATTCAACACGGTGAACCATCAGATCCTCCTTCACACTCTCCAAGAACTTGGAGTTTCAGGCTCTGTACTTTCCCTCCTCACCTCATACCTCGAAGACCGCACCTACAGGGTTACTTGGAGAGGGTCCGAGTCCGACCCTTGTCAATTAACTACAGGGGTTCCTCAGGGCTCTGTCCTTAGTCCCCTCCTCTTCTCTCTGTACACAAAAAAGCTCGGATTTGTCATTAGCCCACATGATTTTTCATACCATTGCTACGCGGATGACACCCAATTAATTCGGTCCTTTCCCTGTTCAGAAACCCAGGTCGTCGCACGCATCTCTGCTTGTCTAGCAGACATCTCTCGGTGGATGTCTGCCCTACCACCTCAAGCTCAACCTTGATAAGACAGCTGCTTTTTCTTCTTCAGGTTCTGGTCCAGGCTCTCGTCATCTCACACCTAGACTACTGCAACTCCCTCCTGGCTGGTCTACCTGCATGTGCCATCCGACCTCTGCAGCTCATCCAGAATGCAGCGGCTTGTCTGGTCTTAAACCTTCCTAAGTTCTCCCACACCACTCCGCTCCTCCGCTCCCTTCACTGGCTTCCGGTAACTGCTAGAATCTACTTCAAGACAATGGTACTTGCGTACCATGCTGCGAATGGATCTGGCCCTTCCTACATCCAGGACATGGTTAAACCGTACACCCCAGCGCGTGCACTCCGCTCTGCATCAGCCAAACGGCTCGCTGCACCCTCGCTGCGAGGGGGACCCAAGTTCCCATCAGCAAAAACACGTGGGTTTGCTATCCTGGCTCCAAGATGGTGGAATGAGCTCCCCATTGACATCAGGACAGCAGAAAGCTTACACACCTTCCGGCGCAGACTGAAAACTCATCTCTTTCGACTCCACTTTGAGCATTACAATTACTAACAAAGCACTTACATACTAACTAAGGACTGGCTTATCTAAAGCCAGTTGAGTAGCACTTGAAATGTTTTGGCTCTATGAAACCTGATGTACTTATATGATTCTGTTTTCTTCTAGTTTGTATCTTCTTGGTCTAATGCACTTATTGTGAGTCGCTTTGGATAAAAGCGTCAGCTAAATGCAATGTAATATAATGTAATGTAAAATAATATAAATCTGCAGGACTAAGCAGCTTCACCAACGAAAATGTGTCTCTTGATGTTGATATGAGTCTGATTATAGTTTCTGTTGTGCTCTGTGTTTCAGTGGTTCAGGGTCAGGATGACTGGGGAGTGACTTACTCTTCTACTGAGATCTGTGCAGTAAAAGGATCAACAGTGGAAATGAGATGCACCTACACATACCCATTCAAAGTGTGGTTTACCATAGTTGAGAAAACGTTCTGGTTCACTAAACAGAAAGATGGTGAACCTGTAGATCTGACCACAGACTCAGAGTATGCAGGTCGTGTAGAGGATCGCTGTGAAAACAACATCTGCACTCTGAGAATCAGAAACCTGAGAGAGAGCGACTCAGCTGAGTACAAGTTCAGAATAATCATCCAAAAAGGTGGATCATATATTGGTTCACCTGGAGTCACTTTGTCTGTCACAGGTAACACTCATGTTTTATATTTCCAAATGTTTAGTGGTTTTTGCACGTATGTTGAGAGTTTTGTTCCTGTTTCTTCTTCACAAATCCAGATCTCCAGTTGAAGGTGAGCAGAGCGTATTCAGGCCAGGCAGAGCTGAAGTGTCAGACCAGCTGTCATGTACCTGATAATACTTCCTACATCTGGTACAAGAATGGAGAGGAACTTTGGACAGGAATATCTTACTCTGGTTTAGTCAACTTTGGTTCAGCAGACATCTATTCCTGTGCTTTAAACGGACAAGAGAATCACCGTTCTCCTTCAGTGTGTGAGTTCACTGCACTGTTTTAAAGAGGACATTTTATGCTCCTTCTCAGGTTCATATTTGTATTTCCTGTCTCTACTGGGACATGTCTCCATGCTTTAATGTTCAAAAAGCTCTTTATTTTTCTCATACTGCCTGTGCTGCAGCACCTCTTTTCACCCTCTGTCTGAAACCAGAGCCCAGTCTGCTCTGATTGGTTATCTGGCCGGCTCTGTTGTGATCAACCGCTTAGAGATGTTCCGCCCCTCAGTCTATCACGTACAATGTGTTGGAGCGCTGGCGCTCTCCCTGATGGAGATAAACTCCCTCTGCAGGAACACAGGGATTTTAGCCTTTGCAGACCATTTACATGCACTCAAATCTATATGACACACTACAGGAAAGAGAAACCCCTAAAAGCATAACAGGGCCTCTTTAACGTCTTCTGTTTTTGCACTTTGTCATTATCGTTAAGGTGTGCTGCCTCTTCTAGTAGGGGGCACTAAAGACAAGCTAGTTTGATTTTGCCTTATACATTCATAGTTGTATTTCTACACCTTTTCTCCTCCAGATGCTCCAAAGCCTCCCTCTGTGTCAGTGAGTCCCTCTGCTGAGATAGAGGAGGGCAGTTCAGTGACTCTGACCTGTAGCAGTGATGCTAACCCAGCAGCTAACTACACCTGGTACAAGGATGAAACTTCATACTCTTCTATTCTGAATGAAGAACATCAGATTGTCTTCAGCTCTACGCAGGCCTCTGACTCTGGAGAGTATTTCTGTACAGCTGAGAACATGATGGGGAGGAAGACATCTGAAAATGTCTTTATTGATGTGAAATGTGAGTCAAACAACTTATTTAAAGGTTGAATCTGTCCATGTATGGCAAGGGAAGGTTGTACTGATCATTACTACTTTTTCAGCTCTATTATTTTATGACTGAGTTTTGTTTCCACATTTCCTCCAGATGCTCCAAAGCCTCCCTCTGTGTCAGTGAGTCCCTCTGCTGAGATAGAGGAGGGCAGTTCAGTGACTCTGACCTGTAGCAGTGATGCTAACCCAGCAGCTAACTACACCTGGTACAAGGATGAAACTTCATACTCTTCTATTCTGAATGAAGAACCACAGCTTGTCTTCAGCTCCATGCAGGCCTCTGACTCTGGAGAGTATTTCTGTACAGCTGAGAACAAGCTGGGGAGGAGGACATCGGAAAAGTTGTTTATTGATGTGAAATGTGAGTGAAACAGTTCATTATAAGGTTAAATCTACAGGGGGATATTTTACTGATCATAACTACAAACTTCCCTCAGCTATTCTCGGCTATTAGTTGGATAAAATTCACTGAGCAGCCTCAGGAGATTTTAGGAGTTGTATGTGTGGCGGTGTGGTGAGGGTAGGTGTTAGGAGTCGGTTGCGGACAACGCCACCTGGGGGAGTTTCGCCCCCAGGAAATTATAAAGGTCTAATGCTGATAAGAACAATCAGGTTTGTTTTACACCACGGGCAGAGACAGTTTTAAGGGTCAGAATACAGTTTTATTTATAACATACAAAATATCTAAAAACACCACACAAAATACATTTGAATAAAATACCCACTTTGGGGAAACGGACAGGGCTTGGCTTACCACGGCGGCAGTTAACAAAAAGGGGAGTAAGGAGTCCAAAATAAATCACCCGTGACACTGCACACCACTCAAAACGGATACGTGAAGAAAACCACTGCCACCACCAGGGAGTCTGCCGCCTCAGGCCCACAGCACCTATCCGGCACAGGATAACATGTTATAGTTCTGACAAAAGGATAAACAAAAGTAAACAACAAAATACACCAAATCTGAATGAATGGGGGGGGGGGGGGGCTCATACGTACCACCCTGTGCAGCCAGGCGCAGCCACAGAGCCGACAAGGGAGGGAATGAGACCTGCAAATCCCACGGCCAAATCCCGCTGTGACATAAATAATCGATAAGGCAGGGGAACTACGCAGCAGATTTTAAAGAGAGCAGACAACGGCACTCACCAACAGTGTGCAACGCTGCTATCACGGAGCCTCTGGCGGGGCAAATGCCTCCTCTAACGACGTTAGCTGCGCTAAGATAGGAAAGTGTCAGCAGTGTGTAGCTTGTGACCATGAATAAATGACAGACTGCACAGTGCTTTACCTGTCCGGTAGAGAGCAGGACATGAATGCTGCCACGCCAAACAATTTGCGTTACTACGCCAAGCTGCAGCCGCCACAGGAGAAGTGGAAACGGGAGAGACCCAGTTTGGCACCTCAGCTTAAATAGCCGGTGCGCACAATTGGTGCGCTGGCCTGGTGCCAAGCAGCGGCACAGAGGGAGAAGACTTCCGGTCACTTATGCACACGGAAAAAACTGAACCGTTGAATTGAATTAAATGTATTATGTCAACAAAGGTCAAATAACTGTATTAGGTTAGTTGGAACCACATATATTAAGGTGAACCTATTATTTTGAATTTCAATGTAACATTATTGCATTCTATTATCCTGATACAGTTATGTGAAATATGTTGACATAATACATTTAATTAAAGTCAACATTTTAGTTTTAAATGCTGCTTTTTCAAACTCCTCACAGTCCAACCTCGGTTCAAAGAAGCCAAACTATTTTAAGAATATACAGAAATAGGACGTTTTTTAAATATACATTTGTTTTATATTAACACCATCGTGCAGTCGAAACAGATTTGGTTTTCAGTCTACGACGCAAGTTGTGTTACCTTTCTGCTGTTCTGGTGTCGATGGGCAGCTCGTTCCAACATTCACTGAAAGCAAACAGGCTTGTTTTTGTTCAAGGTTCCAGTTAAAGTATGTTACAGTAAATTATCTCACAACTGTTTACCTCCATTTCTAGATAAATCCCCAATGATCATGAACATCACCAGGTTGGTTCTGGTGGTTCTGGTGCTGGTTCCTCCGCTCCTTGTCTGTCTCTGGATGAGGTAACTCTGCAAATACATAATCATATCCAGCATTGATATGTTCCCCTGTAGCCTATACTGACTCTCAAAGATGGTTTTTTATGATCCTTTTATTCATAAATCAGTTTTTTTTCTGGATTAAATTCAGGAAGAAGAAGGCTGTGAGCTACACCACTGAAGCGAATGAACCCATAGAGACTGTGGAGGTGAGACAGTGACAGATCGTGCTCTAGCAACTGGTTATTACCTGTTGTTAAATAGGGTCATCTTGAAAATGTGCATTTACCTTCAGTAGCGTGGCGTGGGAAAAAAATTAGGGGAAGCCAATAATACGTCCTTTCTTTTGGGTCGGGGGTGTGGTGGTCAATGTAATATCGTAACCAGATGAGTGATTACAGCACCCGGTATCATTTTACACACATTTGTATCATACAGATGCAGGACTTACACACGCCTGTTATCTAACCGACAGGTCCGCACGCACTCTCCAACCGAAACTCTAATAAGCATTCATTCACAAACTAAATCAGGAGACCTTTAACGTTTTACGTCCGATTCGCTCCTTTTTTCCTCGCTGTACACAGCTCCAGTTTGGGCATTGGCCTGTCATCAGATTGTATCTGTTGTTGCTGCTGTAGCGGAAGTTTAGTACAATTATTTTTTATGAAATACTCCAAATCTCCACCCTCCATAATTGCACTTGCTTCAGTTGCTTGCTACTTTCTAACGGCGGTGAGAGTGGTGCAGTAGCGCCAGGGCCGGACTGGGACAATAAGTCAGGCCGGGAATTATACACCCAGTCAGGCCACTACCAGTTTTCTTTTGTGCCATTTTCCTGGATTTATTTGTCAATATTTACAGCGTTGCTGCCCATAGTGATAGCCCTAAACTTTAAATCTACTACCCCAGAATAAACATATGGACATGGGTTACTATTTAAAAAATGTTTGAAAATCTATTTAGGAACCTATCCATGTGAACATATTTTAAGTGGAGGTGGACCTCAATTCCTCTAGGGCAGTGTTTCTCAAACTTTTTCATACCAAGGACCACTTAACCAATAAAAAAACACTCGCGGACCACCTAACTCCACAAATATCCCAAAACACATCGTTTTTTACAAATCGCCTGAAAATGGTACAAACAAGTGGCAACATGTGTGATGAAGGTATTTATCTGGGCTATATCATGCAATAGAAAGTGAAATTTAAGCTCGCTCCATTGCCGAGATATTCCCGCGAGAGTGCGGAAAACTTTAATTAATTAATTAATTTCAAATGTGAAATGTTACCAATATACTCACGGACCACTAGGGGGCGCTCACGGACCACCAGTGGTCCGCGGACCACACTTTGAGAAGCACTGCTCTAGGGGGGTCCGGGGGCATGTGAAATATGTGTTTACATAAATGGTGACCAAACCGTTTGAGACCCACTGAGAAAACTCAGACTAAGTTAACTATCTAAACACCCAGAGTCCTTTACCTCACCTGAGCTGTAGTTATCAGTCTCTCAGTCTGACAGGAGAGGACTCTCCTCCACCTTGTTGACAGTCAGCTCATTATATCCATTAGCGCCGCTAGCTAGCACCAGATGCTAACAACAACAATACACGTAACTGGTGCGCGCGCTTTCTCTCTCGCACGCTCGCGCCCGCCACACATACACACCCTCCCGAGCTTGAATGAGGGCTTTAGTGTATGATCTGTATGAAAGTGGCCATGTCGGCAGGCCACATCATGTAGACAGCCAGTCACCCTCTGTGAGGCAGAGTCAGACCCACATTTGCGCAGCGTTGCGTTCACAATAGGCTACATACATACAACAAAAAATCCTCAGGCCAGCAGGCCACTTAACAGGCCAGGCCATCGGGAAACCTCCCGGTCCTCCCGATGGCCAGTCCGGGCCTGAGTGGCGCTATCTATCTTCTATCGATTAGATTTATGATTCGAAAATTATAAAAGTAGGGCAGACATGTGGATATTATCCGACTGAACAAAACTTGCATTTATCTAACAGGTTCGTTTTCCACTGACCTTATTTCGAGCTATTTTCCTAAATCCTATGGAGAAATCCCGTTGCTTTTTTGTCGAGGGAAACCGAGAGCAGCTTACTTCCGGATTTTAGGACGCGTCACTGCAACACTAAATTGATGCGATTTGATTGGATTGTGAGGCAAGGGAAGCCAGCGGCTTCTGGCTTCCCTTGGCATGGCCCTGACCAATCACAGGTTGGCAGGGGCATCACGTGAGCCTCATCTGATTGGTCAATCCCTCAATTGTTTTTCACCAAGGGAAGCCAGATTCGGCTGGCCTCCTCTCGCAACAGTGAGTGCAATCTACTGTTTCACCATCACATCTAGAGGGGCGCTGTTTCACTCTTTGTAAAATACTCAATGAGAATGGGGGAGAGACGGGCCGGCAGCAACACACATTAAAGGAGAATTATCGAAACAAAACAAAGTGTTTTTATTTATTTATTTAAATTATAACTACAATCCGAAAAAACAGGGGAAGCCTGGCTTCCCTTGGCCTCCGGGAGAAAACGCCACTGTTTACCTTAGTAACTACGTTCTTAACCTGTTAAGCCCGAGAGACCCCGGTTCCGGGGGCCTCCTGCAATATCTTGCAGAAAACAGTGTCTGGGGGCATGTTCATGTAATAAACTATGAATGTTTTATATCCATGTAACGGAAAGAAACTCATCTAACTGATCATTTTAATTTGTTTTGCAAAAAAAAAAACACAATGCTAACGCTGAGCCTCTGAATTAGCAACGAGCGAAAAATGCTAACAGATGACTGCACCGAAATTCACTAACAAAACCTTATTATTTATCTTTGCTGCACATCTCAACCCATCGTTTCACATCGTGAGGGGACACAGAATCGATGGTTATCCTCATTATCACTCAATCATACGAACTCTGGGAGATAATAACAAGAACACACATCAAAATATATGGAGCTAGTTAGCCAAAAACGGCAAAATGGCTCACCTGTGTGGTAGTCTGGTCAAAAGTGGTCTTCAATGGCATTAAAAACGATGCTGAAGTTAATCCATAGGTTAATCCAGTGGTTCTCAAAGTGGGGGGCGCGCCCCCCCTGGGGGGCGCAGAGGCATGCCAGGGGGGGCACGAGAGACCAGGAGGAAAAATGGTTATAAAAAAAAAAAATTAAAAAAAAAAAAACCATAATTTGAAAATAATATAATGCAGTACAGTACTATTACGTCTGGGTCTCTGTGTTTCATTAAAGCTCGACTGTGTGTGTGTGTGTGAAACGAGCCATTTTGTGTGCACGAGCGAGAGAGAGCGCACCGGTAGGCTACTGGAGATCGTTGTTGTTAGCTTCTGGTGCTAGCGAGCTATGCTAACGAATATAAGGAGCTTTTTCAACAACAAAGTGGAGGAGAGTCCTCTTCTGTCAGACTGAGAGTGAGCTAAAGGACTCTGTCAGTGTTATCTCAGTGGGTCTCAAACGTTTTGGTCACCATTAATGTAAACAATTATTTCCGAGGCACACGTTTATATGATCATTATACAAAAATAAGAGAATAAATGTAAAACAGGTATGAAATACTATATGACAGTAAAAAAATAATAAAGTTTAAAAGGATGATTTGTAAAATATCCATAAAGAAAAAGTAAATCTGTTTACAGTTCTGTTTCAAATGGGTGTTGAGAGAGGTATCCATAGATCTCTCCATGTTGCTCTCAAAGTGCACCAGATTGATGCTTTTAACTTCAATATTTAAAAATAAATCTTCCCGGGGGAGCTTGCCCCCGGACCCCCCTATGTGAGGTCCATGCACACACCACCTATAAAAATAGCACTTTACCCCTGCTTACACCTATATGCCGTGAGCTGATTATCGAGCCTTCATTGTAACAGTCGCGGGACCATTGTGTATTTGCGTGGGGATTGTTGCAGTAGAAAATTCCACTGTAGCGCCCGGTACATTAATGGGAAACCCTAAATGTTTGAGCACCCTCTATGAAACGTCAAGCTACCCCACAGCACCCCCAAAATAAATCTCTGGCGCCGCCACTGAGCCTGACTATTTGTGTTGGGGGGGGCCCGACTTTTTTTTTTCTCCAAAGGGGGGGCCTGACAGAAAAAGTTTGAGAACCACTGGGTTAATCCAATGTGTATGTGTCACTTTGAATGATTTCTGATAATCCATGAGCAATAAATCTGCTTTTCGGTTTTGAGATGTCAGACTTAGAGACAGCTTCACTATGGAGCAAAACCGCTTGCGCGAAGACGCCATTTTTTTTTTTAACATGAGTGTGTGCGGGACGATTCCCCTTGGATTATATTGGCTCTAACGGTCAGAAAGAGATGTCACATGTCAAAATCGAACAAGAGGGGCCAGAGATAAGGAAAATCCACCCAAATGGCCCCAGAAGAAGTTTTTTTTGCTAAACCTCTCTAAAAAGGTCAGATGTCACTTGTTTTGCATCAATCTTGATACAGGGTACTTATTATATGTTGTACTTTGGATTCCTAAAGCTTTTAGTCTACTAACCCATCATCCAAGGTTAGTTTTCACTATAAGTACAACATATTTTTTGGACGGACACTATAATTTACAGTTTTTTACCATGTTCAATCTGAATTTTCTTTAAAATAAAAACATCTATATTGATTCTGAATTTTCTACATCCAACTCACAGGTTTATCATTACTTTGAGAAAAAAGATTATTATTTTAACCCTTTTAGAAGTGAAGATATGGTCATTTGTTCTGGGAATGTCATTTTCGAGCCTGAGACCTGAAAAACAGGCTTAGGGCTAAACTGGTTAAAGGAACTACCAATGTGTATTTCCACATTGACAGATCCTACTCTAGAAATGGGTTATTACCTGTTGTTGATAAGCGAGGTCACACATCACATATTCAGTACTTGAATGATGGCCTTTGACTCTCCTCTCGTTGTCTCTCCATCAGTTAGACCCTTTTTCTGTGTATGAGAACGTCTCAGACCTGAACATGGTCTCTGCAGAACAGACAGAAGAACCAGAGGAGCAGGAGGACCTGGTCTGAAGGTCAGCAAGCTCTCACTCAGATGTATTTATGAAAACAAACCCAAAACAACTTCCTGAGAAATAACTCACCAGAACTGTACATGATTTATTTTAGATGCATCAAACCAGAGGGAGACTCACCTGGATGAAACAGAGAGAAGTGAAACATTGAAGAGGAAACATTTACCCTCAAGTTTTCATGGTGTTAAGTAACAGTAGGAGTAACATTTTTATTGTAATGTGCAGTATATACACTTTACTGCAAGAGTGGGGGTGTAAACAGAAATGTGCATCAGCATACATTTAGCATCCTAACTACTTATCATATTTGCAGCATTCGTTCAATGTATATATTTTATGGTGAAAATGTCTCGATAAAAATAAAATTGGGGAAAAAATAAACAAAGACAATATTTGCACAACACATGCATCTTTACAAACACACACACACACACACAAACACACACACACACACACACACATACCATTTATACATCACTTCAGGGGACATTATATTGAATTACATGCAATTCCTGGAGACTTATCCTAACCTTAACCATAACCAAGTCTTCACCCTAAAAGTAATGATTCCCCTCATGGGGACCTCCATTATGTCCCCATAAGGGAGGCGAGTCCCCACACGTGAGTGTGTAAACAGATGTAGGTCCCCACAAGTATAGTAATGCTAGGCCACACACACACACACACACACACACACACACACACACAAAGGTTGATTCTTCAAACGCCTTACTTATTGTTGAATTCTGATCCTCATATTAATCCATTCATTCCACCTTTCCAAATATTTATATACGATGTGTTATTTTTGTATTTCTAAAATGAAGCTTACATTTGACTCCTAGTTGTTAAATGAAGGTTAAACTAGTTCTTCATTCTCTTTCTCATAGCTGTTCTTCTAAGCATCCTTTATACATAACTGTAACTTGCTTCTTCCTCTTTAAAACATGTTTTAAGTTCTTCTTTAAACCTCATCATAGATTGTGCTTCAATGTTTAATCAAACAGTACATCTTGAAAATGTGACTGCTATTGGTTACTGTTGTGGAAATAATTATCATAAGACGCCAATTAGTAACATACAGGACAAACCTTGATGTCTGTTTACCTTCTTTAAGGACACAGGCGGCTTAGCCAATAATGTTATTGTTCCCATTCTGTGACCGGTCAATACTGGGATACAGATGGTCTGTGTTGTGGGTACACTGGGACACTTCCTTCTCTGTATTTGTGGACTCCAAGGTAAAATCTTCGAGGTCATAAGTGTCCGAGGCAAGTAGCTCTGTGTTCCCACACTGTTTAGGCTATCTCCTCAAATATGTTGTTTACTCTCTGCGAAACCAGTTAGATGGGCTGGCAAGAGAGAGGCTCTCCAGAATTGACGTGGCAACTCTACCGTGAAGTCAGAACCTCTGACTCTTGGACTTGTGATGTGAATCCTCCGGCCGTTAACTCCAAATAAACCATCATGTGTTTGACATCAAAGCTACTGCTCTTCCCGTGTCTCCTTCCTGAGTCGGTGACTCCCACTGCATAGCGACACAGAAGTTTCCATTACAAATTGGCGTTGTCGGCAGGATGCCAACAGATCTTCAGATTGTGGTAAGTGTGATTTTCAAATCTACTTTGGACATTGCCTTATCAGAATCTGTGATTGACGGTATCCTAAAATTACCTGTGAAACTGATTGGCTGCGTTTCCTTTTGGTTAATGAACATTTGGGGATGATAAACCCAGGAGATCAGTGTCTGGGGACTCAGTCCTGGCTTATTTCCTCTGTGTGTGCTGCTCGGGACGGAAGTGCCATACAGGCATACACAGCTCATGTTTAGAGATACCTTAAAGAAAGGGCATCAGTGAAGTGGAGCTTCTGTGTGAATTGAAAGCAATGTAAAAGATTTGTATTGGACAAATCGCCGGATTTTGAGGGTCTTAGTGGCTAAGCACAGCAGTTGAAAATAAGCAGCCAAAGATATTTGCTGCTATCACCTCTCTGTAAAAACACGGCTCCAGCTGCAGCCTTGCGTGTGTGTGTGTAAAAGAAACCTCACTGTGTGTGTGTGGGGCTGGAGCAGTGCAGGCTGAGAGGAAGAAAGTCACAGCTTATTGCCTATAGGTTTTAACTCACGGCACCGCCGTCCTTCAAACGGGACGGTCTAAAAGCACTCGTTGTTTAGGACCGCTTTTCTCATGGTTAGACGGGCCAGCACGAGGTGCGTGCATCACCCGATGCGCTACGGCTCTCTGGAGCAGGTGGCGGTCAGGAGTGCATACATAAAATTATAGGCTAATTGATCAGAGGTGTGTAGTGGCAAGCAAGCATAGGCAAACTGTGTTTCACCTTGAGGTGAACTCGATGGCGAGTAGATATAGGCTGGTCGTACGGACTACAGTCAACTGAGCTGTTGTTTGGAGAGAAAGGGCAGGGAAAAAGTCTGTGGGCTCCGATCGGGGGGGGCACAGCGCCACTAGAAACAAATAGCCTAGTGGTTGTCGCAAGAGGATAAGCTAGTTATCACTCTTGGACGGCTTTCAGGCACCGATAAATCACTTGTATGCAAGGGTGAGGCGTGAGAAGACGCCGCACTGGAGAGAATTCACCACCCCCTCTAAGATCTCTAAAATCCGGACTAAATTGAGCTGAAGAGCTTTGCTGTCGCGCTGGTGTTTATTAAGAGTTCATGTTTTGTTTGTCTGATTGTTTGTATGGGGGTCTATATTGGTTTGTCCCGCCGTCTTGTGTATGTTTTGTAACAACTAATGAATCAGTCCATAGACAGGGTCAAATGAACTAAACTTTAATTATCTCACCAAAAGTAAATGACCTGAGAAAAATAAAAAGTGTTTTTATGTCCTGCCTCTGAGTGCAGGGGAAAATGTAAACAAGAAGCACACTGTTAAGGGTGAGCGCTAGGTGTAAGAAGAAAATAAGATTATATTGCTTTAAGAATCCATTCTTAAATGGTATTGCTGGTATGTTAAGATATCTTTGTGACCTTGTATAAACCCTATGCCCGTCCTGCGCCCCGAGACCCTCAGAGACCTGCCTGAGGAGATCAGGGTTGCAAAATCTGGTTTTAGGTCAATGTTGTATTATTTGTTTCATTTATTCTTAATCTATGTATTGTATAGTAATAATGAATAAAAACGTAATGTATTGAACACATTCCGAAACAAAGCAGATAAGCAGAACTAGACTCAGACATAATACTAATTGTTGTTGAAACCTTTTGCGCTGTTGCAGCAAAATGGAAACTGTGTTAATTATTCTGTTCCAACTGGCCACTGGAATCAGGTAATTAATATAAGTTGAAGTTCAATTACAGTTTTAAAAATAGTTTAACATTATTTATTAAACTGCTTGAAAATATTTCTAGTATCAACCAATTGGTCTCCAGAGACAATACTAACATTAAAATAGTTGTTAAACTACTGACAAGTTTTCTGAAAGCGAGCTTATGAACAACAGAGTAAAGGTCGCTGGTTAAGCCAGGATCAATATATTTGTTGAAGTTTTTATTGTGTGCATAATAAATGTGTTAAATTAATTGAGCAATTCTTTAAAAGTATAATGTTGCAATTTCTTTAAAATAAGTAATTACAGTTACAAAATAGGTGTTGTTTTCCAAGGGCCTCTCCTTCACAGGCACTTTGAATCATAACACTTCCAAGTCCTACAGAGATCAGTATCACTTTGTGTTGCAAGCCAAATCCAGGGGTTCTACTCGAGCCCAATTTTAAATACCATAAAGAAAAGTATTGAACCCAGCTCGAGCTAAATGTCAAATGTATTTAATTAATGTGCAAGTGTTTTGATTTATTTAAAATGTTCCAGTCTAGCTTCCTTCGAGTTTAATATAAACAACAGATTGGTTCTCATAACATTCTCACTGCTGTACTGTCCCAAATGTTTTAAACCTTGGGCAGACAAGTACACACACACACACACACACACACACTTTGGATGAGTAATCACTTCATCCAAATTGTAAATTGTTGCCTTCTTTAAAGTTATTAGTAATTCAAGATTCATTATTAAATTAAATTAGGTACATAACAATAAACAAAATAACTTTGACTTGATCATTTTGTTCACAACATTAGACCTTGTCCTCTAATCTCTACTAGAATAAGATAAGTGTGCATGTTTGGGTGTGGAACACTCCTGTAATGTACCTAATCTTCTTATCCTTTTCATTACAGAGCTGGGGAAATGGTGTATTGCTTAGATTCTGACCCGTGCAAAGTCCAATTATGACTGACTATAGTTCTAATGTTAATTTGATTTCAACCCATAAGGAATTATTTAGATTAACTCAACATTTCACATGATGATGGATTAGTGTTCCACATTTTTCCCACTAATTTGTTGTGCAATTAGGCCAATGGTAAAGAGAGACATTGATGACCTTGTGTCCCTTTTGTTGGTACGTGGTTCCATTCTGTCTATGGCCTTGGACGGCTTCACTAAGAATCACCCAGTTCTGACACAGTTCTGAGTGCAGTCACAGAGATGCTATGGCTGCTCTACATGAAATGACATTAATGGTCTGGTCTGAGAATGGACACCATTACCTGCTTCCAGAGACAATGCCGCTCCTCAAACTGAACAATACTGTCTCACGTGGGCCACTCCCCCCACCAAGCCATGAACTGAAAGCTTGACATCTGCTTTGAACACCTGGAAGCCTCCCGGTCACACCAGCACCAACCCTTGGGTCAGTCAGATGGGACTAACGGCTTAACTTAGGGCATTTGGTTCAGAAATATGACTCTCGTTACCGCAGAGTGGGTTGTTTTTTTAAGGCTATTCATACTGCTATGCAGAGGATGCCTGTAGGTTAGCAAGCTGTTAAAAGCCCCTACTATTTTTTAAAATAGGCCTAAATGTCAGGGGCCTCTGAATGTCTAGTTCTACATGTATTCACATTATATGGACAATGTTTCCACCTGGTGAAACTAAAGGCTGCACGGTACTCAGGCTACAATACGACCATTCTGTTCTGCTCTAACGATTCAATTGATAGATTCTACATCAAAACAATTAGCTTTTATTGTTTCCAATGATAACGTCATTTTAAGTGGAGGAATGCAAACCTGTTTTCAAATGTAAGGTTTTGAATGTGTTTGACATTTCTCAGTAATAACACCCTCAGACACCCACTATCATTTATGCTATGCCTTCAGTAGTGACTCAGATGTTAAGGGGAAGAAGCTTTTCCTCCCAAATCAGATATGCTTTGTTTTAACAAAGGTATGCATTTCCTGCATAATATATGTTTCTCACAATTGTTTGTTTTTTTGTAAGCTGCACACAGGTGATACTGAGTCTTCTCGATTAATAGATTACACCATGCTTAAATAGACTCCTAAGTTATTATTTCATATGAGACATATGTAAGAAAAGGGAGGGAAGAGTCAATTATATTGAGTAATTGATTTTATATTGGAACATTTATTTCTCAAAC